GCAAAATCCAGCCCGAGTTCATGCAGCCTACTTATGTTTCCATGGTATATCTGGCTTCCGCCTTGCTCGGCGCCCGAGAAAGAAGCATCTTTGATGGAGGAGCCGAACTCGGCTCTCTTCATCAAGCGGCCCCCAAAACTATCGAGGCAATCGCCGATATGCCTTATCTACGCGAGAAATTCCAGGGTGTCTTACTCCGACGTCGTCAGGAACAAGGAGACAATAAAGAAGATATGGATGGTCGTGAGCATTTCGTCTGGACTGGCGGCATCCTTGGAGTTGGTGGGCAACGAAGACCAATTCTGGAAATTGATGAAACGACTGGCGAACCAACCAAGACGGATGATATGGCGGAAGAGCGAACGCAACGAGACGTTACGTCTCAGGGAGCTTCAGAAGATCAGGCTGGCGTACATGCAGCCGATGCTGTGCAATCTCCCGAGGGCACATCTGCACCTGCAGAGAAGACCATTGACTATGAAGATGAGTATGATATTGAGGCCGAATCGCTGTTAGAGACAAGACGCAATGCGCAGCAAGCCAACGATGACTTGCTGGACAATGAGCATCGCGAGGAGATCGACAGTAACCTTGCAAATGGTTCCTCCACCTTGACTGAGGATCTACTTGCCATGGATGAGGATGTTTCAGATGATGACTATGACCAATGGCTAGAAGAGGTGATCGATGAAGAGGCCATGTCTTTCGAAGAGTCGAAAGAGCGTAATTAGTAGGAAGGAGGAAGTTCGTCTTGCATTGTATATACCAGAACACAAAATGTACCATACTACATACATATGTATAAGAGATATCTAGAGAGTGTACGAATATTATTGGATATAATTCAACTCAATTCTCCAGCATCCACCTTCGCTAAGGTACAGCACATAGACAGTAGACAGTTATATACCTACGGAGTACGGAGTAGTACCTTGTTGATATTTCCCAGTTAGGAATTAGAGAGGGATTGTCCCATATTGCTGAGTCATCGGGCATTCCGCGTGTGAACGCGTTGTTGCCAGAAGAACAACGCGTTCCAATTATACCTAATTTGGACGGCGTGTTTCCACAGCTTTGAGAAAGATCCTCCGCCATCCCACCCGTTGTCAAGGGCGCAAAGAACCGAACCATTTCCCCTCTCTGCGTTTCTATGATTTAGCGTGGGCTACCCAAATTTAGAAGAGCCATTCGTCACACTGAAAGTACATCGATCATTTTGAATTTTTACCAATATACCCTGACCCCATATAATTGTCCGCGAAGCACACCATCATCATGGACGGAGTGCAGCTCCGTGATGAGGCCGCTCAGGATAGAGTGCGTGCCGCTATTGAGTTCCTGGATCCCCGTAAGTCATCATGGGCAGTATCGGGTGGCATTAGAAGAGGAAAACTGACTTATCCTTCGTTTCTTTTCAGGTGACGATGCTAGAGCAAGAAGGTCCGTCAATTCGAAAAACACATCCCTGCTTGTCTAAAACACCATTTCAGGACGTGGCTTCTGACCTGCAGAGTAGTTATCGCGCTGATATCGTGTTGATGCTAAATCGAGGACTTCGGCGCTTAATAGTACGTCGTTGCATACTGGCCTTGACATGACGATTGGCGGACAAGGAGCTAAAAAATCTTTTTCCATCTAGGTCAGCATTGATGAGATCAGAGCACATAACCGTGAATTGGCCGATGGGTATGTAATATACAATTTGAGCCAAGCCTACAACATACTAATCCTTTGAATGAAGGCTTCTCACTTCCCCATTCGACTATTCTCAAGCATTCGATAGAGCTTTGAAGGACGTTATCAAGACAATACCGCACCGACCTTCTAGAGAAACAGCAGAAGAAGTGGTATGTTGTTCTAGCCACATGCGCATATACATATAGATGTGGGAACTGACAAACGCTTAGAACTACTACTGCGCCTATGTCGGGGCTTTTGGAGAGTTCTCCTGTAACCCCCGGACCTTGGGTTCGACCCATTTGAACCGGATGATCTCCCTTGAGGGCATTGTAACAAAATGCTCCTTGGTCCGGCCAAAGATTATACAGAGTGTGCATTATAGTGAAAGGAAAGATAGGTTCTTGTCAAGGAAATATAGGGATCAAACAATGACAGCTAGCGGTGCCACAAGCTTGAATGTCTATCCCCAGGAAGACGATGAGAAGAATCCGGTATGTTCAACGCTACCGAGGTGTACTGACTGTAACCAGCTAATTGTGTGTTTTGTCTTTCAGCTCATCACGGAATACGGCTACTCAACATACATGGATCACCAAACCATTTCAATTCAGGAAATGCCAGAGAGAGCACCCGCCGGTCAACTGCCCCGGAGTGTTGATGTGATCTTAGATGACGATCTTGTGGACCGAGCTAAGCCTGGTGACAGAATTCAGTTGGTAGGAATTTACCGGTCTCTGGGAAATCGAAACGCAAACTCGGGCTCGTCGACATTCCGCACACTTGTTTTGGCAAACAACATTATTCAGTTATCATCGAAATCCGGCGGAGGGATTGCGCAAGCCACCATTACCGACACTGATATTCGCAATATCAACAAAGTTTCCAAGAAAAAGAACGTTTTCGAGTTGATGTCTCACTCCCTCGCGCCGAGTATCTACGGTCATGACTATATCAAGAAGGCAATCTTGCTCATGCTGCTTGGTGGTATGGAGAAAAACCTCGATAATGGAACACACTTGCGTGGTGACATCAACATCATGATGGTTGGTGATCCTTCGACAGCCAAATCTCAGCTGCTCCGTTTCGTTTTGAATACTGCACCCTTGGCAATTGCAACAACCGGACGAGGCTCATCGGGTGTCGGTCTTACAGCCGCTGTTACGTCTGATAAGGAAACCGGAGAGCGCAGACTGGAAGCTGGTGCAATGGTTCTGGGAGACCGCGGTGTGGTCTGTATTGATGAGTTTGATAAGATGAGTGATGTGGATCGTGTTGCGATTCACGAAGTCATGGAACAGCAGACCGTTACCATCGCGAAGGCTGGCATTCACACTAGTCTGAATGCTCGTTGCAGTGTTCTGGCGGCCGCTAACCCCATTTACGGACAATACGACCCCCACAAAGACCCGCACAAGAACATCGCATTGCCGGACTCTCTCTTGTCTCGTTTCGATTTGCTTTTCGTGGTGACAGACGACATTGAAGATTCCAGGGACAGGCTGGTGTCCGAGCACGTCCTTCGTATGCATCGTTACCGTCAGCCTGGCACTGAAGAGGGTGCTCCCGTTAGGGAACAGCTCAATCAAACCTTGGGTGTTGGACTCGAGGACAATCAGGATTCAAACCAGCCAACAGAGGTGTATGAAAAGTTCAATGCCATGCTCCATGCTGGCATGGCCAACACAGGTCGGGGCAAGAAGAAGGACGTTGAAATTCTGAGCATTCCATTTATCAAGAAATACGTTCAATACGCCAAGTCGAGAGTCAAGCCCGTGTTGACTAAGGGAGCCGCTGATCACATTGTTACCACCTACTCGGCGCTGAGAAACGATGAACTGTCCGGTAATCAGCGTAGGACATCGCCCATCACCGCACGTACCCTGGAGACATTGATTCGTCTGGCTACTGCACACGCCAAGTCCCGTTTGTCTAACAGAGTTGAAGAACGGGATGCAAAGGTTGCGGAGTCCCTTCTGCGTTTTGCTATGTTCAAGGAGGTTCTCGAAGACGAACGCCGCAAGAGGAGAAAGGTCACTACTTTCGACGAGGACTCCGAGAGCGAGTCAGAGGAGGACTCTGACGAGGATGATACTCCCGCGCAAACTGCAAGCGCCACCCCGCGGTCAAGCCGGAGAAGTGGAACACTGCGCACGCGTGCAGCTGCGAACCGTGCCACTACCGATGAAATGGACGCTGATGGAGACGATGCTTCGGAAGATGGCGACGGTTTATACAGCTCCAGTCCTCGTGGTCAACGGTTACGGTCAAGCCAGGCCACGCGTACTCAAACGCTAAGCCAGTCTCAGATGTCTGTAGCATCTTCTCAGCCAGCCTCACAACTCATCGACTCCCAGACAGACACTTCTCAGCCCCAGACGTCGTCTGCCACTGCATCCCAGCCGATACAACCTGCTCGTCTGACAGTCTTCCGCCAGGCTCTGGGCCCGCTCATGGGTACACGGCTGTTTACCACCGGCGACACCGCTGACGTGGAAGAGCTCATCGGGGCTGTGAATACGGCAGTGCGTGGAACACGATCTCTCGGAGAGAGCCATGTGTTCCAACGTCCTGAAGCAATCCAGGCCTTGAGGGCCATGAACGAGCGAAATGAATTGATGTAAGCACCCACGACCCACAGACACTCACGTCAAGAACTCATAACATGACTAACATTGTATCCATAGGTTCCTTGAGGATGACGAGACCGTTTACAGAATTTAATAGCATAGAAAACTGGATGGAGTTTCAGTTGTATGGTCGACTTTTGATTGGGAGCTGGAAAGGGATTTATGTCGGACGCGTTAACTTCTAATGTCACTTTCATCCCCATCGACGGGTTAGTTTGGCGTTTCGGGGGGTTTTAGTCTATACATTGCAGATGTCAATTGGCCCTGGAATTAGGTTCTGGTCCTGGCATTTCGTGTAATAAACTTTCGTTCCTTGCATAATACCTCGAAGTATAATCCGTGGAGCTCCTTTGGTTCTTTGTCCGGTACGACTTCAATACATCCACGACTATCGACGTTATCGTAGAGGTTTCGATAGTATATCACGGAACAGTAGGTCTTCTTACCCATTCCCATCTTCTACTGAGCAGTATGAGCAGTATGCTTTGTTATCGACCCACTTTTATAAGCAAGATAAGATCATTGAAGATATAGACAAAAAAGGAATTATTAAACCGAGATAGAGAAGTATGAAGAGAGAAGAGTGTAGAAGAAACAGATGGCATAGAACATAGTCACACTTTTTTGTACCGACATGCTATGATGCATCCAACGTTAGAAACCGGGGTATAGATTCAAAGCCTGAATTACAACTTATATGCTAGTTTCCTCATCTTTGACTTTGTCGGACTCTGCTAAGAAACCGGAGTCGTCAGACGAGAAAGACGATGTACGCACACCTTCACTGATCTGTGCTTGTGTGAGGGGTGACACTCCCCGGGGAAGAGTCTTGGACTTCTTCTTGCGGTGTTGATGTCCTTGCTCGGAGCCTGACGCCGTAGAATTAGGGGTTAAGCTTCCCCGACGGGGGCGGCTACTCGCAGACGACCTTGACGGAGGACGATCATCGGTATCTACGGGGGTGGTACTTCGGGATGGCGTCCGTGAGTGCGAGTCCGAGCGCGTGCTACGCCGGGCAGGCGATTTCGGCTCGTGGCTGAGCCTAGAGATGCTCGAGTGATGGGAATGGCGATGGTGGGCCTTTTCGTCGGCGGACTTGGTGATCGTCGCTGCGGCGGCTCGCCGGCGCTGTGACGCCTTCCATCCAATGCCAAACCACCAGAACCAGCCGCCGTCCTGCTGAGCTAGTTGGCGTTCCTTCTGGCGCAGTTTTTGGCGCAGTTGGGCACGCCGTTCGTTCTCCTTTTCCCAGAACTCGGTGCGGTAGTCATCCCAGTTCCCGCGGAACTCCGGCGAGAATGACTTGGGGAGGAGAAGTAGTCGGATATAATCGCCTCCCGGGCTGAGGTCTTCCTCCACCAGGCCCGATTCCATGTCCATGTTGTAGTACGGCTGGTGGTGCTGCCGACCACCAATGCGTTTCTCCGACGCAGGCCGCTCAATATAGTGGAAGTCTCCGACCGGGGAAGGGAAGAGCGGAATTGAAAAGGGGAAGAGGAAGGAGAGATAGGATAACAGCTCCTGCCACCAGGGACCGCGGATCACAATGATCTTAGTGTTCATCGTGCGAAGGCCGCGGTTGGCGACGGCGAGCCAGCGCCGCGGCCAACGTACTCCACGCTCCCATTGCCCCGTGCCCCAGACCAATAGTGCAGTGACCACTCCTCCGAGCAGCGCAACCTTCTCCCACATCTCGACCACCCAGTACACGGAGCCGCCTACCCCGCGGCCATCTTCGCGAGGACGGAGGAACAGCGCGTAGGCAAAGTAGGTGATCCAGGCAGCAAGTAGCAGAAGGAAAAACGAGTTCTGCCGCCGACGTTCTCGCAGCGCAAGGTATTGAGCCCGAAGAGAGCTTTCTAGGATGAGCAGGTTCAGGTAGATCTGAGGTGGAGAGGATGGCAACGTGGACAGCGGGTCCGGTGTTGACGGGCGTGGCGGGGAAGACGGATCGGAAGAATTCTGAGGGTACGACCGTGGAGCAGAGTTCAGTGTGTCGGACGATGTTGATGAGGACGAGAGATGATTTGCAGGAGCCGGTGACCCTTTAACCAGGTGATCCAGGCTTGCGGAGGCCATGGCCGCGACAGTGGAGGAGAAGAGGGACCCCAGAGAAAAAGAGGCTACTTCTGAGGCAAATGGAAAAGGGACAGAGAACAAATACACTGAAGGATCAGAACAGCACGGCCTTCACGGCCAGGCGCTATCTCACAGCATGGAAGTAAACGGGTGAGAACACGAAGGAGCGCAGACGACAAGATGGAATGGAGGGAAACGTTGAACTGCTGGAATGATGGATTTAGTTTGACGCCGACAATAGATTACCGTCGGTATCGTATTGGTTCGGTATGGCACTCGAAACCTGCCGACTGTCACATGATGGACTGGACATCTAAAACAACATGAAGATCACAATCCCTTGATATTCATAGTCTAATTGTATACATTATGCATATTCACTTGCCGTTGACACCGTGTAACCCGACCAAAGTAATCCAGAATCGCTCTTTATCAACAGTAAATAATGAAGGAAAGAAATCTATGCCTTTTTATTTTGCACCCTTGCGATCCACGTCTTCCATCTCGGACAGAATCAAGCTGTTAAACTCTTCCCATCCATCCAAATAGACATGGTGGCCCGAATTCTTAATGACCACAACCTTGGCCGAGCCGTGGTCTGCCTTTTGCTCTTCCGGGGTTGCGTTCTGAAGCACCCTGCGCTTCTCTTCATCAAGCTTGGCTTTTGCTGCCATTCCACCTTTCACATCCATCCAGTCATGATCGCCATACATGAAGACTATGGGGAGACCGTTTTCGCGCTTGGCGGGCGTTGACAAAGACGAGCCTGAAGCTATGGTAGAGTCGGGCTGGGGGAAGTTCTGGCGGGACGACTCGGTGGCTTGTGTAGATTCCTGCGTAGAGGATGAGGGCGTCTGAAGCACCTGTCTTCCCACCCCTTGAATGCGTCGGATTAGAGGGCTGCGTGCAAAGGCACCAGGGGCGAGGATATATGCGAGAGCATACTCTCCACTGCCCCGTTGACTGAAGATCGAATATGAGTAATCATGTAGGGCCTTGGCCTCGTCCGCAGGCAAATGAGAAAATCGCCGGGATGTCCAGCCCGATACAAGTCGCGGGCCTAAGGGGCCCGCCCAGCGAATTAAGCTGAAGGGAGATATGTTGGCCTCCCACAGATAGGCAAACCACTTGGGGATCATCCGGCGCGGAGGCTGATCGGGAGCAGCACTACCTGTCGACGGGCCTTTCAGGAGGATATTGTTGTCACCTTTCTGGGTTGCCTCCGGTGGCACTGATGAAACCGACCCTGCGATGTTGTGTTGATCCTGGGAGAATTCGTTGGCCATCGTGGACTCGGACGGCATATCTGCTGACACAGCATATGGGTCTTCTGGAATTCCAACCGGTGAAGCTAAGATGAGCTTGTTCAAGCGACCAGGATATTTGAGGGCATAGGCGACCGCCATGTAACCTCCCAAACTGTGGCCGAGCAAAGTAAAGCGATCGATTTTGCGTTTGATGCGCCACTCCTCCAGGGCATCCACAAACCAAGCCTCCGCCTCTCTGATAGCTTCCTCACGGTCTTTCGCCTTGATACGGAACGGCGGTCGTGTGCTACGGCCCATTCCCAACAAGTCTAGCGCATGTAATTGCCACCCTTTCAGTCGGCTCAAAGGCTCAAAATTCTTGTAGAAGAAGCCCAACCCGGCCCCATATCCATGAACCATAACCAAGTGCTGGTTTGCTTCCTCTCCAATTCGCTCGACGGAGAACTCGTTGAGAGCTCGATTTTTGCCGCTTAGCTCGACCATGCTGGAGCGCCACCTCCGAGGACCATAGGGATCATTGAGTGAGTTGGCTGCTACCTCGCCCTCCTGGCTGTGATCGGCTGATTGTAGGCTCCCTGGTTCGCCACTTGGGAGATTACTCGTTTTTCCGGTTTGCAAATGTGTAGGGGGTTCATGTTGAAGGTAGGGCAAGTATGAAAGAACCTTATGCTCGGCTGCGGCAGCCGGCAGACACGACCACTAGAAAACCCCATCTCAACGACTGGCACTTGAACTTATTTCCGGGTTGGACAACATACCCATTGACTGAAGCCCTCTCTGTAACCTAGTGGAAACCACGCTGAGGGTGACGGGGTGGCGCTGGCTCCGCGAGCCGCGTGAGGAGTACCGCCCTGGTGGGAGGCCAAATCGTCCTTGGACGATTCCAAGGATTGCGAGGCCATCGATGAGGAGTAGCGACCAAAGGCAAAGGGGCTAGATGACGCTAGGAGGCGTGGATGTTCGAATGCGGCCCAGGATCGAGTGGCCTGAGAGGTAAGCGAAGAAAGTCGCGCGGTAGACACCTTGTCGCGCAGAGCAGAGAGTGACAGAGTAATATTCTCTGTCACCCGCAGAGAGAGAGTAGGAGAAAAGTAAGGGCAGCCACGGGATTTATATGGATGGTAATCGAGGCCCGTAGAGGCCAACAAAGGCAAATACTAATTGGGGCGGGTGGGAAGCCAAAAGCCGCTTATGTCCGAACCAATTGACCTAACCCCGAAGCAAGGCAACGATGGATGACGAAGGATAGAGGAACAAAAAGAATGTCGAGGGATTGAGGCTCAGCGAGAAGTTGTTCTAGAATAGAGAGGGTGGCGACGGACCGTGTAGACGAAGTACAATACATAAAAAAGACAGCAAGCAAAAAGATAATTATCAAGGAATGATTGGGCGGAAGTGAGAAGTGGGAACCCCAACAGGAACGATGACGCTCAACTGTCCTGCTGGAAGGGTATTGTATCGTATCGTACCGGAACACTGAATACATTTATACCGAATACCTCCATACAAGATCGTTTTTCTTATGCTACTGTACTCGGAATGGGCCGGCAATTTTATTTCCATTGGGAAAAGTCGCGAACATTAAACAATCCCTATGGCCTCCTCCGATGATTCTACCGACATTACCTGGAGAAAGCTTCGGTATATTATTCCAACAAAACGCCTCTCATCACCAACCCGCTCAAGCCCTAGGAAGACCTCACGATGCGAGCGCTTGAATTGGGACCAGATATGCTCCTCCGACGATATCTCACTCCACCAGGGTAGTGCGCCATGGCCCTACCCATAGCTCTCGGGGATCTGTTTTCTTCAATCGGTGTCGTGCTCCCCGGCGTTGTAGTTCTGCTGCTAATTCCACTGCTAGGCCGTAAACTGAAGTAACCGCCAGAGCCATCAGCTGGACTAACAATGTAGTTGTTGGTCTGAGAGGAGCTCAGCATAACGGAAGAAATGTCTCCTATTGATTGCCGGGCCTGTGAGTGTGGCGATACTGCTCTTGACCGGGATTCAAGTGCAGGATTATCCGGCCGAATCGATAGAGCCAGTGATGAGTTCGGAGTGCGGATGTTTAGGCTCGACAACACCGATGTGGTAGCTGAGCGGCGATGGTGGAGACCATGGCTCTCATCAGGACTCGTCAATATTGACCTATGCCTCCAGTGTAGCGAATGCTCCGAAAGCTCGTTATTCCTCATGCCGAGTGGTTGTGATGGTAATTCCAACCGATTATTGATCGAAAGCCAGGCCCTCTCATCGGCCTCCTCACTTACGCTGTTACTGGAAGATGAAGACACGGATCTTGAATGAAGTCCATAGACTTTAGAGGATGACGCCCAACAGCGCCATCCACCTACGCCCTCGAAGTCCCTCCTTTCGTCGCCACTAATCAGGCCGAGGAAGCCCCGTAATGACGGGTAGTAACCATTTTTATGATGCTCTGCTCTTCGGATTCGCCGCCCGTCAATGTCGTGGAGCGTACTGTCCTGGTCATTCGGTTCTTCCAGATGTGAACTGTTGCGTCGCTGGCCGCGGCCTGGTCGGCTATGGCTAGGGGAAACAGGGTTGGACTGGTGGCAACTGGAGTCTGAGAAATGAATGGTCCTGCCGTAATCCAATGACCGGCGCTTTGGTGTTGTAGCAGCTAGCGGGGTTGTAGGTTCAGAGGGGGCGAAGTTTAGGAGGGACGAGGTGTTGGAGGTGGGAATGACAAAGTAACTCGCGATGATCGCATAGCATAGTTCGATGTAGATCACCGAAAGCCGTAGAAACAGAGCCAGGACCGAGAAGCAGATGGTAATATAAGCTGATATGACGAGAGGTATGGAGACGAGAGCGAGGAATGGTAGTGTAAAGAAAGTGGTGGTTGACATGAAGACTTGTAAAGAGTATATAGTACTAGATCTCTAAACCCGAGGAATAGATACAATAGATAGCAAGTGAACCACGCTATGCAATACCAAATTGTGTGATACAAATCTTTAGAAAGAAGGCATCTTGATCTTTGAAGAGGGAGACAAAGAAGAATAAGAAAAGGAAAATCCTTGTCGTACTCAAACCATCGGCTTACTTTGATGAACAATAACCATAAAATGCGGAGAAGGAGCATGTGATGATTGACTGCCTGAGGCAGCCATTCATAGAGGGGATGAAACTCGAACGATTCATTACATCACAGCCCCAGAGCCGGTATTTATTGAGCCTCTCTGTCCTCAAAAAAATTCCTGTCAACGCAATACGAATTAGCATGACACCCCAGGAAATTCAAGATGGGACAGGTTTCCCCTGGGATATTGGGGTGTTCGATGCCCATTGTCATCCCACCGATACTATGTCATCCATTGCGGAGATTCCTAGAATGCGGGCAACAACGCTCACAGTCATGGCTACTCGGGGAGAAGACCAAGAATTAGTGCACCAGACTGCTGTGTCTCTCACAGGTGGACAGTTACCATCGATTCCGGGACAAAGTATCGGACGTGTACTGCCTTGCTTTGGCTGGCACCCTTGGTTTTCCCACCAGATCCTTGACGATACGGGGAAAACAGAAACCGAAGACATATCGGCATCTGACAAGAAACTAGCGCATTATAGCAAAGTTCTTACGCCATCACCAGCAGATACTTTCATATCGGCTCTACCTGACCCCAAACCGCTTTCACAGCTTATCTCAGAAACACGCGAGCGGTTGCTAAATCATCCCACCGCTCTTGTGGGAGAGGTTGGTCTTGACCGTGCTTTTAGGCTTCCCCAAGCCTGGACGCAGCATGAGAAGGGGGTTCGTGATTCACAGATGACCCCCGGATCTCGCGAAGGTCGAGCCCTTTCTCCTCATAGAGTTCAGTTAGAACATCAAAAGGCAGTGCTAGAAGCCCAGTTGCGCCTGGCGGGAGAACTTCAGCGGCCGGTCTCTGTACACAGCGTTCAGTGTCATGGAGCAGTATTTGATCTTTTCAAGAAGTTGTGGACTGGCCATGAGCGAAAGAAGCCGTCGCGGCGGGAGAGAGCACGGCGTTACAGTGCTGCAGATGCTCACACGCAGAGTGATATGGAGGAAGAGCAACAAAACCTGACCAAGGCCGAAAAACCACCGCTTCCTTTCCCACCAAGAATCTGCATGCATTCGTATTCAGGTCCCGTGGAGCCTCTGAAGCAATTCTTAAATCCGTCAAACCCCTCCGATGTGTATTTCTCATTCTCCACTGTGATCAACTTCAACGGCCCGTCGCCCCAAAAGATCATCGAGGTCATCAAAGCCTTACCGGATGACCGGATCCTCATTGAAAGTGATCTGCACACCGCTGGGCAGCAGATGGATGATTTGTTGGAAGAAGTCGCTCGGCAGATCTGTGAGTTGCGTGCATGGGATTTGCACCAAGGGGTTCAGCAGCTTGGTGAAAATTGGAAGAGATTCGCCTTCGGTTGAACATATTAGTATTCTTGAGCAGCGTTCGAGGATGCGTACCTGTCAATGAATAGGTACCACTGTACATAGCGTCCTGTCGTGGATGAGGTTCTCGAAGACCGATAGACATATAAAAGATAGAGCCAAGATGACTTAATAGCAACCTAGATGACAGCTCACTGATATAGCAAATGCGTAGGTATGCGTGTGGTACGATTCGTGCGACGGGTCTATGTAGCACTATCACCATGTAGAAGGAGTCTCTATCTGTGCGTCTTATTGGAGATATGGGGCGGTTAGAATCGCTAGCTACTATTAAGAGGGTATCCTGACTCTATTATCAGTGATTGGAGTTAAAGAGGGTCTGTGGCATAGAATCCTAGGAATAAAAGGGGACTAGGCCGGCCTACTAGTATGTGCTTGGTAGCAGTGAACATAAAATAAGCCTGACGTCCGTGGTACGGTCGGTTTCCGGCAGCCGATAAGTTGAAAGAAAGGGATTGGAACTCAATTAGCACCTAAGTATAGATTCAATGACGCCGATTGGTGGATGGTGGCTATCTGCCATTCAGGACTAGTATCTCTTGGTTGAGTCCCCACCAGCCCCAGAACATTAGAAATTATGAATAAGAATGATAAGAGCATAATAACAACCATGACTTGGCACTGAGGGAACGGACTCACACTGGGGTTCATCATCAATTTACAAGCTTTTATTAACCTGCACCCCCAAGGAAAGGGATGGATGAAAGTACCAGTAAGATCAATTAGGATTATGTACTGAATACTTGACGTCTCGTGATCTTTTCCCAATTAGAACTTCTCCGCACCCACGTGACCTGCCCCAGACTCGCCGGCAGGTGCCCCACCACTAGTTCTCCGGCTCTATCGATTTCTCCTCTTCTTTCCCTTTTTCTTACGTTTCACAATCCTGCGTTGCTGCTCTCTCCTTGATCATGTCTTGAAAACAAACTATCCCTTCAACCCTAGGACTGCTCCGATTATCAATGATGAAGTTGCTAGTCCTCGGACCCTGAACCCGCGTCGATGCTTTGCTATGTCCTCCACCGCGCATAACAGCCAACCATCCACCGGCAATGGTGTGACTAAACGCAAGTCAGGTACGCAGCGCGGTCACCACCCATTTTGATTCTTCCGTCTGTGTGCGGATATGCTGACTCAACCCGATTTAGGCTCCGCAGCCTGTATTCACTGTCATCGGCGTAAAGTCCGATGCGATGCTCGCATTGTCGGTTTACCTTGCTCGAATTGTCGCTCTGCGGGAAAGGCCGATTGCCGCATCCACGAGAAGAAAAAACGCTTGGCTGTGCGCTCCATTCTTGACCCAGTTCCCATTCGCTGTCGCCCACCCCCTGACTCCGATTCTACTCCCAAGCCCTTACCATCCACACCCATCCAGCCGAATGCTTTCACAACTGCCTTTCGGGGCGTCCAACCCGACGTGACGAGCCCCGTCGCAGCCGGCGCCCAAATCATTCAATCGCCACACTCGAGCTACGCTAATGGTAACCATGGTTCCCAACCGATTACAGAAACCCAACCATTCAATCGCCAGCCAGGTGCCGACCGGCCCATGGACCTGGAAAACAACGCAGATTTGGAGAAGCGACTCGTGAAACTGATTGATGAGGAGGAGTCGGGCAGTCGAGAAATTCAAAGGGGTGTGAGGGCAATATATGTTGGCCATGAACTTTCGAATATGTCATTCTTGATCCGGCAACAGCGTGATAAAGACGACGATGTGTATCACTTCGCGGGCAATGAAATTCCTCGACGGCAATTGAGAACAGGTCATGACCAGCTCCTTATGGATGCCCTCACACTGCCAGAACCAACCCTTGCTGATGAGCTGGTACAGGCGTACTTCACGCACGTAAACCCAGGGTATCCCATAATCGAGGAGGATCTGTTTATGACTCAATATCGTAATCGTGACCCGGCCGATCCTCCTCCAATATTACTTCTCCAAGCAATTTTGCTCGTGGGGGCCCATGTTACACGCCCAAAAGCGGAGCGAGATGCCCTGAAGGAAATATTCTTCCGTCGTGTCAAATGGCTATTCGACAGTCGCATTGAACGCAATCGTGATATTATGGTTCAAGCTGCATTGCTCATGACATGGCACTCGGATAGTGCCGATGACGACGTAGCAGCTAATGCCCACTACTGGGTGGGAGTAGCTGCTAGAATCGCTACAGGTCTTGGTATGCACCGTAACCCGGTATCTAGCAAATTTGTACCTCGCGATCGTCGAATGTGGAGAAGGTTGTGGTACATTCTGGTTCAATTTGATGTGATGGTGTCATTGTCATATGGCCGACCACAAGCTATGTAAGTCGCATCCACTCGCTTGTTGTCCGGATCTGGGAATTCGTGCTCTAACCCAAAGCTTACCTTAGCAACCTTGAGGATTCAGATGTCTCCCCTTTGACTCCTTCTGACTTTGAAGGGTGTGGTTCTCGAGTGCAAGCTGAGTATGTTATTCACTTCTCAGAATTGTGTACAATGATCTCGTATATCGTGCGAGAACGGTTTGGGCTGAGAGTCAGCGCTGAGCGCCGCAAAGCTGCCTTGCAAGAAGCCGACGAAGCCCTAGCAAATTGGTCCCTCAAGCTGCCAGATAGTTTACGCCTACGAGCCTCCGATATGGATCCGTGGTCTGCCATGCTTCACCTGACATATAACAACTTCCTGATTCTTCTTCATCGGCCACATCCAAGAGCTTCCGCATATTCAGATGATTACGGTCCACACGACGCAGAAATCTGCAGTGCAGCCGCTGGAGTTATCGCTTCCATATTCGAGGAACTCCGCCTGAATGACCGGCTGAAGTTCTTGTGGTACTCTGGAGTGCACACGCTCTTCACGGCAATGATTCAAGTCCGGGTGGAACTTCGATTCTCCAACCCTGTCCTCGCAATCAACGCCTTGCGCCGCTTCGACTCGGCCTCGTATTCTCTCCGCGAACTTGCGGAGTATTGGTCTCACGCCAACACCATTTTAAGGTTATTCCAAGACTCCAAACGACTCCAGGAGGACTTGCGAATGGCTACCAGCGAAAGACCAAGACGATTCAGCACACATGATCAAAATAAGAATACAAATAATCCCTCTAATCCTCATCCCAATCCCAATTCAAATACCACTTTACAGAGCCCTCAGACCGAGCCGCAACTTCCTTACGAAGTTCCTACCCCGGAATCTCCGCGCATGCCCCCAACCACCATGAGTCCCCACCAGAACCAGCCATTCGACAGCTGGATCCCATCTAGCCACCTCGCTTCTGTGGACCCCATAGACCAACCTAGAGAGTTCCTGGATTGGCGGCAGCTCTTTTCCTTTACCGATCCGGATCAATCCGTTCTCCCAGTTCCCATGGAAGGATTGCCAGAGTTAGAAGATGAATGGCGCCAAATATATTGGCAGGAAACTCCCATGTCTGATCTTCTTCAGGACGGAGGATGGATGCATGGATAAATGCATACGTACCCAGCGCATATATCTCGTTCTTTTTGTTCCTTTGGACTTGACTAGAATGGCGATGCTCATGATACCTGTTTCGTATTTGCTGATGATCATATGACTTTAATGGATTCCACATGATGCAGACAACCTATCGTATACCACTCCGCACCAAGTGCAAAATACACCGAGATCTTGAAATCTAAATGTAAAAGCTCGTTCAGGTATTCATCGAGGACCGTGAAGTCCTATTTCATTCTCTATCAGTACCTCCTACACTGTTTCGTACGTTGAGAAAAACAAATCAACTGGAATCACTAAATACAAGCAGAAGCGGAGTCGAGTCGATGTGAGCACGACATGCCACTCAGCTCAGACACGCAAATAAGGGATATGATTGTATAAGAAAAACGTAAAGGAGTTCTGGAGTGGCCCACTTTACAAGCAATTGTACAAGCCTCGCTCTGAGCCCAAGACATCGCATAGGCATTGACCCCAAACAAATAAGAAAACGCGCCGACCCTTCGCAACTCTCTTTATACCTCTGAACTCGTAATCAATCCATAAATATCCCATAAATAACCCATTGCATCGTACGACGTCATTAAGATGCTGTACAGGGAGACGATCCGAAGGTAAGAAAAGACCTTTCGCCCGGTCTAAGAGCTCTGGGCCTGGCAATAACACAAGGTTGGCTTCCTAAGTCCTAAAGCCGTGTCGAGTGCAACGTTGGTCGATCATTGACGGAGAAAGGCTGCTGGTTCCTCAGATCTCACGTGCACAGACATTAGTAGGAATCGCCAGCCGTTCCATTGTGCGCCTGGCCCACCATGGGCGGGTACCCATAGGCAGAGGCATCTTGTTCAGCGGGATCTAAGCTTGGATTCATGATGCTGTTGGCGTTATCAGCAGCATCGGGGAACGCTCCCGCGGTTGCCGGACGTCCTCCCGGGGCGGAGCTTACGCCTCCGACCGGTCCACCAGAGGCGTATCCGCTGCTTGTTGGCCTATTCTGATGCTCACCCCTCGCGGATTGGGTCTACAAGTTAATCAGCATTGTACATCCTGGCCAAGAACACTGCCGACGGCTGGTGGAAGGGCAGGGGACTCAGAGCGTTGCACAAGTCTCACCTCACGGTACTTCGACAAATAGATTTTAAGGGCTTCCGCATAGTTTTCAAAACCCAGTGAAGTCATGGCAAACAGGATGTCCTCTCCATTGACGGTTTTGCGCTTTTCCTGTTGGCACTTCTCGGACGCTGTGACTCCAGTGAGATTACGCCGGCGAATATTTACTGGCAAACCGACAAGACGGTCAAACTAACCTTCGCTAGTAATGAACGAAATGAATTCGCTCACACATTCTTGCATACATTCCTTGGCTTCTTTTGCAATCTTGGCATTGTCCGGCAGGGCCAATTTCATGATGCGAGCAACTTTAAACTAGACGTTAGCATATCCGCGTTGCATTTAATTCTGATAGCGCGCAAGGTATCCGTAGATGCGCATCGAGCGAAAGCTTCGGTTGGCGCACCAAGGGAGGGTGGGCATGCTTGCTCTGCAAAGGCAGAGAAATCAAAATATATAGGAGCAAAGGGCGACAAGTTTTGACATAAGGGAAAAGAGAGGATTAAGGAGGAAGAAAAAAAGAATTGTAAAACGACTTGGATGGGTGGATGGTGGGCAAATGTAGTCGGGAAGACCGCTGTTGACCAGCAGGCAAGCCGCAAGGTACGCGCAAATCAGGAGCTGCAGGGGAACGCAACTAACCATTGGCAATGGGTAACCACCTATCCTGCTCCTTCACTTCAAACTCTCCCTGGTTCTGTGCCTGGTCCTGTTGTTCCTTGTCCATTTGTTCCTGCTCTTCACCTGATTGAACTTCAGGTTCCACTTCAGGTTCTTTCGAAGGAGAGGTCGACGACATGATTTTTAGCTGTTTTTGGGGCGCGCAGCGGGTCCTGGAGTTAGAAGGAAACGACTGATGCTATTTGCTCTGTTGGCAAACCACGTCACCGATGCGGGCGGCGCGCGATGAATTTCGGCCCTGAACGCGAGGATAGCTTTGCGCCAAGGGAAGAGGGTAACTGGCTGGGCAGCGATTGGATTCGCTTCACAGCAGCCTAAACGGGGAAGGATGAGGAGCAAAAGTCAGCGCGTGTGGGGGATTGGCAATGCTTCCGCGACAGCTCTGCTGGCAGTAAGTAAGTTAAGGTCCACCGGGAATGGTTATTCGACGATGATCATATGAGAAACGCGGCGGGTGAGCTTGTTTTGGGGCGGAATTATTATAACTGTTTTGGGGTATTTTGGTATTTTTGGTGGCTGGATTAAATCTGATTTGATGCCCAGCGACAAGAATGGCGCACCGATCTTCTGGAACCTCCAGGGCGTTGTTGGGGCCGAGTCAGGAAAGAGTTAGACTTACAAACTGCAGTAGGTGGTAACTAACGTCCACTCCAATACGGGCGAGATCTGGGAAAGCGGGACGTGACGCGGGTAATGCAACACGAAAGGTAACCAGTGGGTCACTGGGCAGTGGCACGTTGCTCAGATGGGGGTGGAAACGTTCAAGGAACCAGGACGATTCGGCGATCGGGTTATTTTGCTTTAGGGAGCCACACGATGCCGGTAGAGAGGGCGTGGTTGGTTCTCTGGACCAGTAGATAACAGTGATAATTACTGGGGATGCGCGCAGGCACTCAATTGGCGAACCAGAAGTTCCTGACAGTCAAGCACGATCACTGGCTAGAACTGAAAACCAATGAGAGTGTATGATGTTATGGAAAATGATCCTCTCCTCCACACAGACCGCGAAGGAACGGGGAAATGGAGAATTGCTGACGGGAAGAAAAGATGATTTGATGATGGATTGGATTGAAATCCAGTGATAGATTGAATGAGGGGGAAGACGAGAAAGGATGCAGAAAGAGAGTGAGGAAGAAGAAGAAGAGAGAGAGAGAGAGGCAGTGACCGTGACCGTGACGGGAGATGGGCAAGGCCAAAGTTGATGGCCTCAGGAGTCCCTCTCTCAGCGCAATCAATACCGCCCTCATACAGGGAACTCCGGTATCAATGATCTTCTCTAGGCATGGCTTCCACACAGTGTCGCAGAGGGGTGTGTATTGGGGATGTAACACACGTGATGCATGATTCCTCCCAGTTCATCTGGTAGCGGTACTATGCATCCTACTACTATTAGTACCTACTAGTAGGTACCTACTGTATGTATGTACATCACATTATTAATCGAATGCACTGCCATCCAACCACCGTATATACCTTATCCACCCGAGCAACCGTTGTCTGCGAAGTGGGAACCCTGAAGTGCAGCATAAACAAAACCTCACTTTCAAGCATCTTTATTGGCCAGTTTTAGTTTGACCAGAGAGGTACTTAATACTATCTCAAAGTACTAAGTTGACTGGAGTATCTCCTGTCACCAGATCAAACCCTCGAATCCTCTGTTCCTAGTGGCCCAGTCTGTCAATTTGGGTTCTGTCTATTGCCTAGGCTGCCCCGCCCATCACATACATCCGATGCAACGGAATAGAATGGAGCACCGGATCAGGCATCCAAATCGACAACAACGGTGTGAATAAGACAAAGTGGGCTAACAGTTGGCCTTGTATGCCTTGATATTTTTATATCAGGCAAACCTGCAGCATCCAGCCACCCACCTGCAGCCCAAGACCAGCATGACGGTGGTGCAAGGCATCCATCCGTCGACTATTTCTGGAGCCAGTGGATCAATCACATTTTTCTACCCAAGAACCGGTCATGTATGCCCTATCTCGGGGTCCCCGTGCGAAAATTGCACATGCCTCATCACCCATACTGTAGGGACTGAAAAAGGGCATGTGTGATTGTTCGTCTAGGTTGTCCTGTTGTCAGTACTCCAGAGTATGCAGGTTCATCGGCAAGTTCGCCGAGGCTGACATGAAGCAGCCAGTCAGAACGTGGGGGATAGAAAGTGATCAGACGAGATCTTACCGGAGTGGTAGACCGGCATGCCATTCTGAAACAACCTACTTTCCGACACCATCTCCCTGCAGTCCCGTGATTGGCTCCTACACCAAACACTATACAGCTGGCAGTGTATACCTGTCGAACTACATGATATGGTGGTTACTCGATGTCTACAGGTTAACTCAACAATACTCTATTGCTGTGGCGTCATCAACATCGTGTGCTCTGTATCTCGCCGAAGAATGTCTCCGAGGACCTGTTTGTCTCGTCTACAGTACAACAGGACAGTGGTCATATCTCTGCAGTAGCCAAGTCTGGTCGAGCCTTGCACAGGATTGTCTGTAATTTCTAATATGCTAGTTCCACCTGCAAGTAACGGCGAATGCGACGTTGTACGATACATTTCTCCTCGGTACAGATGTCCTACAGAGATTTGAGTGTCTGTGGGCTTTTGAAGAGCAGAACCTGGAGTTCTTCGTAGGTATCTACATAACGCAGTAAAATAAGCCACCCCAAAACTAATATTGCTTATATCATGACTATATAATACTTTCAGGCTAACAAGGGAACCGTACATGCAATAATGAGGAAGGGTGGAATAACTATCTCAATCTACAATATTCCTGGACCTCCAAGCAAGCCACAGGCTCTAATGACACCTCCAAGCCAAGGTCATCGTTTGTATGTAACTATTACTACAAGATTACTTCAATATCACGTCCCTATCAAGTGAGCGCGATGCCAGTCAACAAAGCAAACAAAATGCACAAGAATAGTGCCAGGTTGAAAAAAGTTACTCGTGCCATTCGACCTTGAGACGCAAAAGCAAAAAATGCAAGGCTCCCATGAACAGCAACGAAGAAGACAACTTGTAATAATACAATACTATGAGCTACCGGGCTCAGGAACTATATCAGGTCGCTAATTACCGAGAGAAAAATGGCGAAAAGCTCAACGAGAGATGTGAGAAGAGGACGTCGATGAAGGACGGCGCCAGAATAAGGATTGAGTCTTGCTCGAAGGCTATAAGATAATCACATTCAAGACAACAGCGAGGAGGCTTGAGGAGGTGTCTATAAAGAGTCCGGAGTAGCAGAAAAGCCAACAAATGCTATAACAGGCCTGGTGAGAATTGATAAGAGATGTATGTTCTAGAAGAGGTCCGATCCGAACTCATCGTCACCGACGCTTTAGGTATGGGAATGTCTTCTTATTATGGGGGGTTCATACTAATTTGTTCCAAGTACAGCTTTTCCTGAATCTTCGCACGGGGCGATATACATCACTTGTTTATTTGGATGCAGATGGTAAGAACAACAGTAATGTTTGAGGGATGGGGGATATTGAACTGGTGAGACTGGTTTATTTGCTCTGCAGGGGCCCATATTGCTTGGGTTTGTCTTCGCCAGGTGGCGTCTAGGAAACCGAGAAAGGATAGCTTGCAATGACAGATTCCAATACCTAACTATCACTGCGTCAGTCCCTGCCCTACAATATAGATACGAGGGCGAACAAGCATGGTTATCCGTTCTTTTCCCATACGCCTACCTACTTCCATAGGTTGGCATTGTATACGCAACTGGACTATTTGGCCGGTTTCGCGATGTAGGCGAGTTCTATCACACCTCTGGCGCAAAAGCTACGAAGGCCTGTCGAGATATTCGGACCTGTTTTCAGACTCCTGGTAACGCCATTTTGCTCTCCCTCTATCTCCCGATGAATCAATACATGACATTAGAAAGGGGTAGACAACGAATCGCTAATACAAAATTAAATTGGGTTCAAGGTTGTACGACTTGGATATTGTTCTTTTTCTGTGTAGAAAGAAGGTTAGCCCCTATACTTCGCTCTCTGCTTGACCTCTCTGTCCAATCTCGGACAGCAATCGCAAATAAACTAACCTTCCAGTTGTCCAGTTCCGTCTGCTTCGACTTGTACTGCTTCAACAGCTCTTCCAACACTTGCTTCAGGCCATCGGAGTTGGTCTTCAATGTAGGTAAGACGTCTTTGACTGTCCGCTCAACCAGAACACCATTAACCATGCGAAAACACTTTCTCTCTTCAGGGAGGGGCTCGAGTGTCTCGATGACAAGCCTAGATGTAAATGTCAGTGTCCATATTCTCATATGATTCCAGACTCTCCATAGTTCGTCAATCCACTCAATGGAGAGCAGCAAGGTAGACCCACTTATGTTCCTCTGCTTCCTGCTCAATATCCCCAATCTTCTGCGCCATCTGTTGCAGTGTGTTTTTATAATTTGAGTATTGGAGCTGGAGCTCTGCGCCGCATTAGCTTCGATTCACACATACTCCAGCGGTCATGGAAAGTTGATAAGCATACCCTGTTGCCTCTTGGGGTTTACTTGCTGTTGGCTGGCCATTTTCGTCTGCGAGTCGTAACAGTACGCTGTTGCAAAGCTAGAGTTGCGGGGCGGGGCGTTTGATATCGGAGTTGATGTTTCGCGCAGTGTTCTTGTCCGCAGCGAAGATCCCACAATACTATGGGTACCACCAAACTAGATCAGTTTGAGGCCACCACAGAGATAATATCTCTACACTAATCGTACAGGGAGTCCACAAACTACACGTTACATGATTCTGCTTTACGAAATAATCTTTCTTTTTTCACTGAGCTTGACCCCTCAATGTGGTATGTATAGCACGTGACACATGCGTGGGTTTGCATGGTTTGTCCATTTATCGGCGATAATCAAATGGTTTCCTATCAACCATCTCTTCCGCTTCAACCTCAACCACAGGGCTTCGGGCAGGCAACCGGTGGCCCTTTGTGAAGTTTTCGATACCTTTCGGGCCCTCAATTCAGTGAATATTGTTATAACTCGATATCGAGTTACACCTTCACAATGGCAAGCAACGACATGCCCCCAGCCAAAAGGCTGAAGAGCTCCAACCTACCGCCACCGCTTCGCGACGCGAAGCGCAAAGATATCGACAACTGGGAAACGAATCGAATGCTTACGTCTGGAGTCGCCCAACGACGAGACTTCGATGCAGATTTTATGCCCGAAGATGAGGAGGGTACTCGTGTGCATTTGCTCGTTCATGACCTCCGCCCGCCTTTCCTCGATGGCCGCACGATCTTTACCAAGCAGCTGGAGCCTATTTCAGCCGTACGTGATCCGCAGAGTGATATGGCTGTGTTCAGTCGGAAAGGGAGCAAGGTTGTGCGGGAACGTCGTCAACAGAGAGAGCGACAGAAACAAGCGCAAGAGGCGACGACAATGGCGGGGACGGCACTTGGGAATTTGATGGGGGTGAAGGAAGACGAAGGTGACAGCGCTGTCGCTATGCCTGTGGAGGAAACGTATAAACATGGGAATAAATTTGCACAGCATTTGAAGAAAGATGAGGGTGGTCAGAGCTCATTTAGCAAGAGCAAAACGCTTCGCGAGCAGAGAGAATACTTACCGGCATTTGCCGTCAGAGAAGATCTATTACGAGTCATACGGGATAACCAGGTGATTGTGGTTGTTGGCGAGACAGGATCGGGAAAAACAACCCAATTGACGCAGTTCCTGCACGAAGACGGCTATTCGAAGTTTGGCATGATCGGCTGCACACAACCTCGTCGAGTGGCTGCCATGAGTGTCGCGAAGCGTGTTAGTGAGGAAATGGAAGTCGATCTAGGTGATCTGGTCGGTTATGCTATTCGATTTGAAGACTGTACGACCGATAAGACGGTCATCAAGTATATGACCGATGGTGTTCTTCTACGAGAGTCGCTAGCCCAACCTGACCTTGACAAATACTCATGCATCATCATGGATGAGGCGCACGAAAGAGCCTTAAATACCGACGTACTGATGGGGCTGCTGAAGAAGGTATTAGCTCGGAGAAGAGACCTGAAGTTGATCGTCACCTCAGCCACGATGAATGCAGAACGCTTTTCAAGATTTTTTGGTGGTGCTCCAGAATTTATTATCCCTGGAAGGACATTTCCGGTAGATGTCCACTTTTCCCGTACGCCCTGTGAAGATTACGTCGATAGTGCGGTCAAGCAGGTCTTGGCTATCCATGTTTCTCAGGGTCCCGGCGATATCCTTGTCTTCATGACAGGACAGGAGGATATTGAAGCGACTTGCGAGTTGGTCGATGAGCGATTGAAGCTGTTGAACGACCCACCAAAACTTAGCATATTACCCATTTACAGTCAAATGCCAGCAGAACAGCAGGCGAAGATTTTCGAAAAAGCGGCCCCAGGTGTACGGAAGGTGATCGTTGCCACGAACATTGCCGAAACCAGCTTGACGGTGGATGGTATCATGTATGTCGTTGATGCCGGATTTTCGAAGCTGAAAGTCTACAACCCCCGGATGGGTATGGATACACTGCAGATCACGCCGATCTCACAAGCCAATGCCAATCAGCGTTCCGGACGTGCGGGACGGACAGGGCCTGGCAAGGCATATCGTCTCTACACCGAGGTGGCATACAAAAATGAGCTGTATCTGCAAACTATACCGGAAATCCAGCGTACCAGCTTGTCCAACACGGTTCTTCTTCTCAAGTCTCTTGGAGTGAAGGACCTTTTAGACTTCGACTTCATGGATCCGCCGCCACAGGAAACTATCTCAACGTCACTATTCGAACTCTGGTCCTTAGGCGCGCTGGATAACCTTGGTGATCTCACGCCGTTGGGACGTCAGATGACACCATTCCCCATGGACCCGCCGCTCGCCAAGCTTCTCATAACGGCCGCCGAAGATTACAGTTGCAGTGAGGAAATGCTGACGATCGTGTCTATGTTGTCCGTGCCGAGTGTCTTCTACCGTCCCAAAGAGCGCATGGAAGAGTCGGATGCAGCCCGTGAGAAATTCTTCGTTCCCGAATCGGACCACTTGACGCTTCTCCATGTTTATACCCAGTGGAGAACCAACGGCTATTCAGATGGCTGGTGTATTAAACACTTTCTTCACTCGAAGGCCCTGCGACGAGCTAAGGAGGTTCGCGAACAGCTTCATGACATCATGACGGTGCAGAAGATGCCGCTCGTCAGCTGCGGAACCGACTGGGATGTGATCCGCAAATGCATTTGCTCTGGATTCTACCACCAAGCTGCCAAGGTGAAGGGTATCGGCGAGTTCATCAACCTGCGAACCAGTGTGACCATGCAGCTGCACCCAACCAGCGCGCTGTACGGTCTGGGATATGTGCCCGAATATGTGGTCTACCACGAATTGATCTTAACCAGCAAGGAGTACATGTCCACTGTCACTGCCGTGGATCCCCACGTAAGTTACTATCCATTGTCCCCTCATCAAGGCATGCAACTAATATCTTTTCTAGTGGCTCGCTGAACTCGGAGGCGTCTTCTACTCTGTCAAAGAGAAAGGATACTCGCAGCGGGAACGCCGCGTAACAGAACTCGAATTCAATCGCCGCATGGAGATCGAGACCCAGATCGCCGCAGACCGGGAGCGGGCTGCAGCAGAAAAGCAAAGAGAAATCGAACGGAACGACCCCTTAAGACGGAAAAAGGAAGTCGAGGTGGGAGGTTCTGCCGTGCGACGTCCAGCCATCACCGGTAAAAAGATCGGGGGTGTCACAGCATCGTCCACCTCGCGGAATGGCTCTGGTGGTGGTGGTGGCAGTGTGGTCAAGAAACCACAGGTGAAGAGACGGCCCGGACGAGCATTTTAGAAGGTTGCAACTTGCATGGACTGTACAGTATACGCATAGACTACTACTATTACTACTATATACCCTGATTAGGCATTGCATGAGTTGGTTATGGATTGGACGGTATGAAATACAAAAGGCGTTCTCAGGATTCCATCAATAGCTTTCTCACCTACCATCTCTACACCCAAAACTAAAGACCCCCCAAAGAAAAGGAAGAAGAACAACAAGAGAAAGGAGAAAGGAAACAATCCCATCAATTCACCCTCTAACCCTAACAAAGAGCATAATAGACACAATGGAAGAATCCACCAGGGAAACTACGCAAACCCCTTCACAAGTAACTAACCAACCAACCAACCAACCAACCACCATGCCATACATAACAAGGGCGCAAGCAAAAGCAATCAGTTAATAAAATTAATACAGAAGAAATGCAAGATCAAACTCCCAAAGATATAATCCGCGAACGCCCTACCACAGCACCAGCACGTCAGCAACCAACCAACCAACCAACCCAAGATGCCGCCGAAACGCAAACCAGAAAAGAAAAAGAAAAGGAAGAACAGTGTGTGTGTGTGCCAAACTCACCTCTCATGCGAAACACCTTCGTTGTCAGCACTTTTCCCGCCCTTCGCGCTTGTCTTGCCGGAACCCTGGGAAGGAGAGGAACTCGTCTGCATACGCAAGCTCGCGGTAAGCACGAACTGGCCAACGGCGGCACAGAAACCGCTCAGGAAGGCATTGAAGGGCTATTTTATTTATACCATCAGTTAGTCTATCGTTCTCCATCTTTATCTCCCGTTTTGACAATAATCATTGAGTATTAATTCCCCCACTGGAAAATGGATAGGTAGGCAATGGTTGTGTTTATGTATGTAGTGTAGTATATCGGAGGGTTTCCTGAAAAAGGGTAGAAATAATCGAAACGTACATAGTTGCCCGCTACAACACAGTAGACGAATTGGATGCCCCCGACAAGAACCAGGAATGCCATGAAGACGTCCAGGAGCATTGTTCGTTGCGGCGTGGTCGCCACGTACTGCTGCCACACATGGTGGATGATGTCGGAGACGGAGGAGTTGGCTGTGAGGGTCTTGGGGCCGGACGAGAGGGACTTGGTCGCGGTGGGAGTCGCCGTGGCGGCGGTGGTGCGTTTCGCAGGCATGGCGGCGTGGGTGGTGTGTATGTTTCTCGCGCGAGGAGCGAATTGATGGCGTTGCTGGGGGTGCTGATGAAGCTACTGTGTACAGTACTGTCCACTCTGGCCGCGGCATTGGTTCCGGTCTCGGATCACGTGATCTATAGTCCGGGCCGCGTAGTACGGAGTAGGACAGTGGAATGGTAGGGAGAATAAGTGTATTACGGGGGTTTGGTTTTTAGAAACAGGTAGCTATTTGTCTTTGGAAAGTATAGGTATCATTTTGCAGCTCATGGATTCAATATGGCATACTATACATTGCACTATAATACAGGGAATAATAGACCGCAAGCTTTCATTTTATAGAGCGTGTAACCCCATAAAAACCAGATCAACTGGACAGAAGCACCACGCAGTCGTACGTCGTAGATCGTATATCGTTAAGATTGGAGAGTTTTTGTCATGACGTGAGCCGAATCAAGAGGTAGAGGTGAGAGGTATTCGCATTATAGGAGTTGAGACGTGAGAAGTGGGATGGATAATCATCCTGCAGAAGAAGATTTTGTGCCAGGGATGAATAGAACGTAAGAGTGACCTCCAGGGCCACAGTCGAGTCAGCGATTAGGCCCGCCCAGGCCCGAAAGGTTTAGGTGTCAGTTGATCAGGTAAACCAGCCCGAAACATTGTTTTGCATGTTGCCCATAGGGTTTGTGGGCTGCACATCTCGCATATCCATCTGGAAGTCACGCATCACTTGATCCCATTCGTCCCAGTTGAGTTGCAAGTTAGACGAATCTGGTTGGAACTCAGGTGGCAGAGCAGAGCCCTCGAGGTTGCCAATCGCTGGCGCCGGATTAACAGCCGGCTGCTGACCAAGAGAATCTGCAGGCGTTGGCAAAGAAAGCCAGTCTACATCAGGGAACAAGTCATTCACCACCCCCATTGGTCCTTTCCTGAGATCGAGGTCACCCAACGGCGGATTACTCGATGTAGAATCAGGCAAGGTGCTGGGCGAAAGCTGGAAATCTGGGATGCGTGGCAAAATCGGAGGATCCATAATTTGTGGCCCTTCAGGAATACTCAGAGATGCAGTACTCGAGGAAGAGACCGTACTGGGCCCAGGCTGAGCGTGCATAGGTTGCTGTAGTTTAGCTCGGTGATCGGCTGCTCGCTTCATCAGCCGGGCGAGCGGCCGCCAGAGCATGCCTTTCTTATGTTTTGCTGTCTGCAGCCACCCCCCATAGAGTGCACTCACGGCGGTCCAAGCTCGCTCAGTCAGAGGATTTATGGGACGCACACAGAGTTCGGCCAGGACGAAGGCAATCGCATGCCACTGCATGTTGATCGCAAACATCCAGCCCCATTTCTGTGTGTTCTTGTCGGCCGATAATAAGCGCGCGAATTCAGCTACCTCAACCGAAGTAAGGAAGAGGCTTTCGCGCGAAGAGTTGGTCAGGTTTATCCCCTGGTATGGCCTTGTCATCGGATGGTGGACTACCAGCCACAATTTTGTCAGAATGAGGCGAGCAACTGTCGCAGTGACCCATTGGATCGGAACGTTCATATCGCAATGTTGGATATACCTTTCCTCAATGCGCTTGTTGATGATTTGGATCAAGTTGCCACATTTCTCGGGGGAGGGCTGTTGAGGTCCTGGAACGTTAGTATTTGGACATGTATAGCTCACCCGCCGAAGAGCAATAGTGATCTCAAAGCGCATGAGACTGAAACTCATTTCTGTAAAGCTATTTCTCTCTTCAGGTGGCTCCTGCATCTCAGGGCAGATGTCGTCATCATTGATATTCAATGGAAGCCGTGTATCGTACATTCTTTCGGTAATTTGAGTCTCGGTGCCATGATCCTCAGATGACCGAATGTCCAGCAGTCCGATATGCCACCACAATCGTCGCCGCATCTCCGTTTCAAATGGTTTTAGGCCGAAGTTTGTTCCATCTCGATGTAGTCCTAAACCTTGAGCAAGCCGAATGACGAGAGAGGTCATAGACCAAACAAATTTGGTATCATCCTCTCGGCGTACCGCGATTAGGAATATCACAGCAGCTTGCAGAAGCATCAAGCTTTGCGTATTCAAAAGGTTCGCCTTAGATAATGCCTGTTCGACAGCGAACCGATATCGACTTACAGCAGTGTCGCGCTCTTCTCCCAGCAGAGCAAGGCATTGTTCTGGCGTGAAGCTTACTATTGTTACGAAGTACATTGAGAGTAACAAAGCCTCGGAATTTTTGTCCAGCGAGTCTGGATGGTCAGTGGCGTTCGCAAATAACTGCTTAGCCGACGGCTTATGAATAATGGGTATCAAGGGATCCACATTTTCCAAATAGGCCTGCCAGAGCAATGGGACTTTCGATGGCGGAGGATGAAAACTACGAAGTGAGTGCGAAAGGGAGTAGAATCCAAACAAGAACCCATCGTGGTTCGTTGAGTGAGTCGAAGAGGATGCCGGCGAGGGATGGTCTTCATCCTCCGACGATGATGGGTCCAGTAGGTCCTGAAGTTCTTCAATCTAATGCCGAGTCAGCATCGAGTACGCCGAAGGGAGATAGACATGGTTAAACCAAGGGTACAAGCGCACCTCGTCTCCCAAGCTTGCCCAAAGCCGGTTGCTGACGTATCGGCTCCGGCCTTCCTCAATAACCAATCTTCCAAACTCATGCTCCAAGTTTCGTGGCTTTCGCTTCGGGTCAAATGGACACCCTTCGGGCTCTGCACTTTGGGGTTCGGCGCTTCCAGGGCATTCAGCTGTGGCCACGGACCCACTGCGCTGTTGCGTTGGGGAAGGCACCGATGACAGAGACGCATTTTTCTCACTGAGGTGCTCAATCACACCCTCTAGACGCTTCAATCGAGATAGAAGTTCCGCATCGTGCGGCCGTTTCGACTTGCGCGGCGCTCGCCCCGGCGGCGGGAACACACACTCAATACCGGCCTTTACACAGTTGACACACGGGCTTTTCTTGTTGCAGCGGACCTTCCTCCTCCGACAGGTTATACAGCTACGCTGGCCATTGTCCAGCGAAGCATGAGAGATCGCCGGGGGGCTTGTTCTTAGGAGGGGGTCTGAGCCATATAGGGATTGATTCGCAGATTGTGTGGATTCAGCAGGCGGGAACGACATGGCGGAGAAGTGGGGATAGCAGAGAAAACATCCACCAGCTGTAACATTCTCGACCGGGTGGGAGAACGTAGGGGGTATAATATAGGAGGAGCACACATAAGTCGCGAAAAAAAAAAAAAGAAAGAAAATTCAAAATAGAAACAAGAAAAAAAGATACGATGCTAAGGAGTATGGGTTATCCAACAGCAAGTGAGACGGGATCTTCAGTCTTCGACTCATAGTGGAGCTTGCGTGAGGTCTTCCGTCCCTTTCATTGGCTTCACCAGCCACGTCCAGGCCGAACGATAGGATTTTGACGGATCTCATTGGCTGGAACACCTGGTAACATTACTAATCTACAGTATCTCACGGTACGGCTAGTACCACAAGTACCACAAATATCATCCTTCTGGGTTTCAAGCGTGTATCGCTAGTTATCGTATTATTACCAGGAGCTAAAGATACGAATGCCCCTGACGTCATCCCCGCACTACCGTAGGGATCTGAAGCTAAAATCATGGCAGCCTGAGGGTGCGAGTAGGTCAGCAGATCTCCGTTTCTTATCTGATCGAAATGTAATCGGAGGCTGTGGAACGGAACTCCTATTATCGGCTCTGCCTTCCTACTAGTACTACTAGTAGTAGTGAGTCAACCATCTTCGTACCGGGCAATCCCGTATTGGCCCCCAGTAGCATGAAGCCACGAGAGTTAAGGTTCATTTGAGACAGGGCTTAGACGGACGGCCACAAACTCGACATGATTTGTCCGCTCGTATTGTGGACAACTCAAGCTTCAAGCAAACAGCATCCTCATGGCCCGGGATGTTTGCTGTTCTATTGATCGGGTTTCCAAGTCAACGATTGAGAGTAGCAAATGAAATCATGTTCCGAAGTGGTCGCGGTCACTGGTGTCGACCGTCAGACACACAAAGAAGATATTTATCCAGTACCGTATGTATATATATATATATATATCATGTACATCCATTAATCAACCATATCGACACCAACCCACACAATGAGGCTCGAGAGTATGTGTGTACCAAGCCCCAGGATATCCACATATATAAAGCGCATCCGCAGGAATCTTCGATAAGAAGCAAATATGGCCAAATATGTGCTATAAGAACCGAACGCCAAGTGCAACCCATGCCGGAAGAATGCACAACCCTAAATAGCAGAAACGCCGGTGAAATGATGGGGGATTCTTGCCGAATCCAATGCAGGTTCACGTCGTCATGATTACAAGGTAAATCGAGTGAAGGTATATAGCTCGTCGGGCGAATATGAAAGGTATTTGTTGGCGTTGACAACATCATGTCATCTTATATTTGAGAGGCGTCGTTCGAACGGGAAGCTCGACCGTGCCTCGTCGTCGCAGCGACCGCTTTCGTTTCCTGCGCACAGTATAAGCAAGAAGTCCATCAAGCACTTCACCAAGGATGACATACGAAACTGGATCCCAAACTAGAGTTTCTTCATTGAATGGTGACTACGAAGTGGATGTCAGCAACTAGACAGTCAGAAGGAAAATGGCGCAAACGTACTCTTGGAAATCCGTGGCGGTCAAGGCTTTGGATCCATATTCCTCTTCAAGAAGCTTGACGTATTCGAAAGGAATCTTAACTGGGAAGTCTTCAAAGCGACTATTCCGGAGCGGGAAGATGTCATTTTCCTTGGATAAAAATCAGTCATGCTGGCGTGCGACCCTGAGCGCAAGCTACTTACATCGAAATGATGTTTGTCTTTGCACATTAAAGCTCCGGTGTCGCCTTTCTTCCTCTTATCATCGTCCGGACGCACTGCAGTAATATCGATAAACAATCCCGATGAGGTATCAATCCACCGGGCATCAATCACGTTCTTTTTGTCCTCGACGGAACGGAAAACGTAGTTCGGGTTAATCTCGAGTAAATAGGTTCGCCCGCCCTCGACGCCTGGGATATCGAAATGGTGCTCCGTCATATTGTAATATTCATCAAGGAAATGGATGGTCGGCTCCGAAATCTGGACGTCGATATCATTGTCCCATGGGAAGATCTAGCCGCCGTCAGGAAACGCCTTGTGTCTTAATATCCCATGGTCTCACGCTACCTTTTGGTTCCACCACCACGCCAGAAGAGTCCCGTGCATTATCCATGTTTCAGCGCCCATATCGGCCATGGTGGACAGGTATGTTCGAATGAGTTGGGATAGGTGTGGCAGCGTCTCTTCCTCCGAAAGCTCTTCGTCGGCGTACCTGCCAATGACAAACTTTAGTACATGCGCCAACCCGGAACAAAGAACTCAAAAGCATACCTTCCATCATAGTGATAGTGGAAACTATCGTCGAACAAGTTAGTTTAGAGAACCTAGAGAAAGCGAAACCGATCACGTTGCAAAACCTTACCTAGACTCGTCTATTGACCTGGTTAGCAGTCGCTTGGAATTTCTCGGATAAGCAGCACTTACGGAAGTATTTCTCTGTCGCCGGTTCACTGGGACCTGTGCCGCTATAGTCCTTGACAAACTTCGTCCGTACACTTTTGAAATCGGGGTCGGTCTCGGAAATGGCCAACGCTCCCACGGCGAACCCGAGCCCGTAGAGACCAGGAAGCCACCGGGATGTGGAAATCCACATTGCGGGTGAGAGAACGAGAGGTGTATCTCAAGATTTCCTCCAACTTCACTCTTTTCCGATAGTTGCTTTATTGTTTTGCAATTGACTGTATTTTTTTTATATATATATTTTTTGATATTCCCTTTTACTAATTCAGTCCAATGAGGAATAAGCCTGCATGCCCAAGTGGTACCGGTCGCACAGGGCGTTTATAAGGTCGGCCGGGGTTGCTGGTGCGGGAAGGACGGAAGTTCGTCAGAAATCCGATATGCGCCCGGGGGGGGGATGGATCTAGGTCGAGATCGGCAAAATCAGTGTCGTAGCGAGCAAATCGAGGTATAGATATCGTGTGGTGACGAAGGAGGCTTTTAGGAGAAGTAATCTTCAATCACCGAAGAAATTGGGACCGTCCAGCAGATATGAAGGGATCTGGAATGCCAGATCAGCGGGTCCATTGGATTTTATCCCAGTCGCGTGCTCAGTTACTTGGTGGCAAGTCATTAAATAGCCTTAAACTAAGACACACTTCGTTGCTGCTGCCATGGAAAGCCTTGTGGACCTTAGCACTGCCGATTAGTGCTTTGATCGGGCCACTCATGAGGCGCTACGGCTTTACGATGATTAAGTATTACTCGTAGAGAGAGAGAGGGGCCGTTCCTCGCTGCAGTTTTGATCTTTCCGTGCTTCCGTGCATAACAATAAACACACGTCCTATAAAATTTCTTGGAATTCAAGGCATCCCACACCGAACACTGCCCACGACATACACCGTCTTCCAGATCCTCCTTATCGCGGCAATTCCACCAGTAGCACGCCCTTATCAGCACAGGTACCGCGAGGAATCTCGACTTTGTTAGTGGCATTGGCTGGATGGGAAGATATGGGGATGAGGCCGCGTCATGGCTGCGTAGTAAACCCGCTTTGTCCAATTATCAGATTAGCCAGTCGTTCTACATATTGGAGCTTTGGGATGCGAGATAGGTCTCCCGTATCGTATCCCCAGAGTGTCCTCGGCCCCCCTATTCTTCTACCTCGAAGAAAAGACGTCGAACCAGCCAGTTGATATGAGCGGACACATTTGCCGGCATCCCTGTGCAACATACCTCTTTTTTACTATGTATAGTTACCAGCTGTGGAGACTGGAGGACCCACTAGATAAACAGAAACAGAGCCCTAAAACAGCAAGAGGACACCCGAAAAAATAAAAAATTAAATTAAATAACTAAAATAAAAAATAAAAAATAAAAACGACCGGCAAAGAGAAAAGACCAGAAAACAAAAGAAACAGTATCAGACTCGATAACGATGGTGATTATATTTCACCAAGGTTCATAATCAGCCCCTATCGCGCAATTGCTTCCCCCTTTTCAACAGACGTGTCGGTCTATGTATCCAGACCCCAAACATAGGCAGCAACATGAACTTCAATTCCCCCCTCCTCCAATGCTGCATTGCCAAGGAAACTAACCCCCCACTAGGACAGGAGAAGGATTCGAACATGCTGTCAGTTGAAGACCGTTGAGGTTGTGTATTGACGTCAGCATGTCTACTGCGAAACAATTCCATGGTTCTGCACGGAAAGTCTTCAAGTCCTTCTCCCTATACATCTGACACCTCTCTGCTATTCTTACTAGCACGAGCCACAGGTAGAGTCGCCTCCAACTGGGTAACTCTCTATGTTACAAATATGCCAACTGCTATAGCGTTCTTGTTCTATGTATACAACGGTAGTGGCCGCATTTCGTACGACCCAAACCGAACTTGTACGCATCACGAATGCTATTTTAGGGCACAAGATTCGAGGTAGGACTCGTATGTCTGAATGTGGACGCCATATCCACTACTTTGTATTCCATGGATTTAGTCTAGATGTAGCCGCCACAAAATGTTTACCGGGGTTATATATCCGTAAATTACGATTGAGAAACGATGCACACATATACTGAACATTAAAGGGACCATGTACCCACCCATCTCCTCATCTCATCACCGTGGAGTTGCACCAGCGTTGCACTCGGAGGCCGTCGCTTCTGTTATCCGACGGGTTGAGAGAACTCCATACGGGACGGATTAGGGGATTGATTTCTACGGAGTACATCCGGCACAGTAGTATTGTGAACCCCCGCAAACCTTTGGCTCCTGACATCTCCGACGTCAATTCTGGCCAGCCAACCTGGACATAGAAGAACGGCCTCTGGAGCCCAAAGATGGGCCCAGAACCGGAACAGATTTAGTGGACACTGTCCCCTGTAAAGGACCCATGCTAAAGACACGTGCTGAGCAATGCCGAAGCTAGCGGCATTGCCCTGGATTTGGCTGGGTAACCCTGTTCGATCTCTTAGTACCACTGGCTGTGGCATTGGACGACACTAGTAGGGTTCCGATAAAAGACAGGGTACTCAGCAGCAGAGGCTGGTTCTGGACCGGTGTCGTATGATGAGCCTCGCATCCCGCCTGACCAATGTATGTATGGCTTGGGCGTTCGATGATACATGGCAGTGAAAATACCCTATCCATGGTTTAGACCTAAATAGCGCTACATTCTGACACTACATGTTTTCTAGGAACGGCAAATAACTCCACGTAGCGTAGCTACCATATTGTCGCTTGATTCCTCGGAGACGAAAAAAAAAGAAGGGGGACTGATAAAAAAAAATTGGGATAACTGTAGATCCAAAAAGAAATCGCCGTCCCAGGTGAGGATCGAACTCACAACCTCCTGATTAACAGTCAGACGCGCTAACCAATTGCGCCACCGAGACGATCTTGTTGAATTGGCTGGATGTGGCTTGAGCTATAAGCCTCAGGTGTTTGGGCCTCAAAAAATCCTAGTGTGCTGGAATGTACAATGGTGATTTGTGATATAAGGTAGTGGTCTTTCCTGTTGGTTGTGTCAATGCATATTCAGTAAATATTGTTTCAAAAAAATCACTGGTCTCTAGTAAGCCACAGTCCATCTCAAGAGTACAGATCCAAGATGCGCCCATATCATCACGTGAATACCACCCAAGTATTGCGCTAGTATCAGATACGTCACAGGAAGGAACACCCAGATAAATCTGATCTGCACGTGACAAGGCAAGCCTCACCTCAAGGCACGACAGTTGTTCCACCACCGGCGCCTGGCCGCCAACGCGTCGACAATCTCCGGCAGCGCATCCACCATCATCGTCAATCGGACATCGCATACCCTCCCGCTTAAGAAGCCACAGTCACCATGGGAAAGAAGAGACGTGGACCCACCCTGGATGAGCTTTTAGCTCGCCCATGGTGCTACTACTGCGAACGTGATTTCGATGATCTTAAAATCCTCATATCGCATCAGAAGGCGAAGCATTTCAAATGCGAGAGGTGTGGGAGAAGGTTGAACACTGCTGGAGGTGGGTCGTGATATCTTTCTCCGTTCTATTTTGATGGACCGAGTCTAACGCCGCGCGAACAGGATTGTCGGTACATATGAGTCAAGTACATAAGGAACAGTTATCGGCTGTTGATAATGCGCTTCCTAACCGGCAAACTCTTGACGTTGAGATCTTCGGCATGGAAGGTGTCCCCGACGATATCATCCAGACTCACAACCAGCGGGTCGTAACACAGTTCCACCAAGCCGAGGCGGAGCGACAGGCCCAGACTGGTAACCCTCCTCCTGGCGCAGGCGTTGGCGGACAGCCAGCGAAGAGACCGAAACTTGAAAATGTATCGGATCTGAAAAAGCGACTGGCAGAACATAAAGCCAAAAAGGCCGAGGCTCTTACCGGCGGAAGCAGCGGTGACGTGACCCCTGTTGGCGCAGGACAAACACAGAACGCGGGTTCCTTTGTAAGTTTGATTGAGTAGATTTGGCTTTTCAACGTTCTCTGACGCTAACGACGGCGACGCAGAGCCAGTCACCCTCGACAGCGGCTCCAAACTCACAGTACACATATCCTCAGCCGTACGGAGGTGCGGGCTCTCCCTATCAACAAACAGCCAGTCCGGTCTACCAGAATTTCTCCCCTGGTGGACAATCGCAATTCCCTCCTAGTGCGCAGTATACTCCAGCGGGATACTCCCCGCAATCATTCCAAGGCACCCCCGGTCAGACCGGCGCAGCTTACGGAACACCACCGCCTTTCCCTCCACAGCAGCCACAGCAACCACAGCAACCAACTCCTCAAACCAACACACCCCCACAGGCTGCCGCATTTGCGCAACGATCTGGGAGCTTGCCGGCCGTCCCCGGCCTGCCCCAACGGCCTGCCGTGGGTGCTCCACAGGTCAATGCCTATCAGCTACAGCAAATGCACATGGGCCATCCAGTTCCGGCCACCGGTACCACTGCTGGCGCTGCTAACGGCGAGAAGCCCCCAGGAGCCGAAGCCACACCGTTCTCATCGTCTGTCGACGACCTCATCTCCGGTGCCGCCAAAGAAGCAGACCAAGCAGCCGCAAGCGCTGCGCCTGCCACAGAAGAGAAGCCCACCAAGAAGGACAAATCCAAACAGTCAAGATTGGTGTATTCTGACAATGAGACCAGTCCGGAGGAAAAGATGGCGAAACTGCCCAGGTACGCATTCGTTCCCGATCGTTTAGGGGAAACGGCGCTCCAAGAACAAGTTCCTGCGGCCGTAACGGGGGCCGAACGGGGTCCAGATACCGTATTCGACGCGACGGATTAATTTCTCTACCGAAGAACTAGAATGGCTGGCGACAGGAGATAACCGACTGTCTCGAAGTTCGGCCCGATGGAGCGCAAAAGACTCGTGAGGTCAACGGACAGGGATGGACCACAAAAATCCAGCTAAGTTCGATTGCATGTCAAAATTCTAGATACACGTTTTGATGATCCATCTTCTGGTCATGCTTTACTGCGTCCTACCCTGATCTTCTATCAGTAGTTGGCGGCCTTTGCATACACGGGCCTTGCAGCAGGCATCGCATGCATGTCCACCGTGGCTATTTTTTTTTTCTTTGACCGTGCGCCCCCCACGCCATGGTTACGCGACATGAGCGACGATAAGTGTTGGTGAGTTGGTCGTCGAACTTTACTGAAGGAGCTGATCTTCGCGCAATGCGTTTCTTTTACTGCCGTCGGTCCGAACCGGTCTACTTAACTGTAAGTTCTGGTGAAGGTAGGCAATCATCCATTTGCAAATAAATCTCGGATAGTTCAGTTGTATCATCTTAAGACCAAAGAACAACCCCATGTAATGAATGACCAAGCACAAACATCAATCAAATTACATTTAGAGAAGAAAAAGAGAAAAAGAGAAAAAGAGAAAAAGAGAGAGACAAAAAAAGGTCCCAAATGGTATAATCATACAACTACCACTACACACCACGACCCTACAACAACCTCCAAATTAATCAATCAATAACTGGGACAGTAGAACCAAACTCAATTCTTCCCCAGAACAGCCCTCCCGAAAACCAAAAGCCCATAAATAGCCACAAAGCTCAACCCAATAGGCACCGGCTTGCGGGTCTTAATAGCCCTCGGGATGGAGCTCCCGCTCAGGACAATGGAGGCCAAGAGACCCAGTTCGTCGCCGTAAGCCTGGCCCGAGCGGAGACGCTGGAAACTGTAGAGGTAGAGGGCGCCGACGGAGAGACCGGCTACGATGGAGGGGACGGAGCCGGTGCGCGCGTAGCCGATCACTCCGCCGAGGGAGGTGAGGATGGAGAGGGAGAGGGCGGAGTTGGTTTCGAGGGACTGTTGGGTGTTGTTAGTTTGGTTGGTTGAGATGTAGGGGGTGTGGGGGTGGAGGTGGAAGTACCATTTTGAGGGTTGATTGCTTTTCAGTTCTTTTTTTTAGGGGTTGTTGTGGAGGGGATTGTATGGAAGAGGGATGGAGGATGAGGTGATGGGATGGGATGGGATGGTGTTATGATCGTATGGCATCGGAGATAAGCTTGGCTGGGGGAAAGCTCCGAGATGGCAGCTTGCTGGGTGGATTATGTTTTCTATGATTGGTCAATGAATGGGTCTCCACAGGAGGATAGTTACTACTAGTAGTACTACAGTATATACTAGTACTAAGTAGAAGTAGATACACAACGTATGTAGCTTTCATTCTATTAACACAACTGAAATGGTACATTCAACTATCGTTCATTTATATGGCCATCACTTGCATGTCTTTCATGATCATCACTTCTATATTCGGTCGTGAAATCCCGGTTCTGCGATGGGCGGTTGTTGAGCTTAAATGCTGTTGCTAGACACCGAGACAAGTGGCCTAGACTTTTATAAAACCTTATGGGTTGAAACTGATTAGTGGCTTGTCCTGGCCTCAGGGGACTGGCGGTGATCAGCTGCCCCGTAGTCAGTTTCCTGTGGTTCGTCCTCCTCATCAGCGTCGTCGCCCTGGAATCCATCCGGTTCAACGGTCCAATATATGGGGAGAGCGCTCAAAGCACCGAAAATGGCGAGGATCCACCAAGGAAAGATGATGTATCCTTGCTTCACGCCGAATGTGAATGCTGCACCGCAGATGGCGGGCCCGGCGGCTCGTCCCACGGCGCTGACACTCGTGGCAACTCCGTTCAGGGTCCCCAGCACGGTTAGGCTGGCGGCTGAGTTGGTCAGCAGGATCGTAATGCAGGGGAAGCCGAAGATGGACGCGGCGAGCTTTGAGAGCATGAGGAGGAAGACTGTTACGTGACGCAGAGACTCCGGTACCAAAGCAGTGAACGGGGTTACAAAGTAAATAATGGGGAATACGAGGACCATGGCCTTCAAGCAATTGAGGACACCAAATCGCTTGGCGGCGCTTGGGAAGACTAGGAATTGTAGAAACATCCCGATGATTCCAATAAGAGTATAATATAAGCCAATCGTTTGGGAATCTGAGAGAAGAAATTAGATGGTAGATAGGGGACCAATCATGATCTCTCAGGAACTTACCGACGCCAAACCCTCCTATGAATTTGAATGGCAGATGCACATCCGGATTATCATGGATTTGCTGGACAGGAGTATGCAGGAACACTGGGAGAAGTGAGTCGAATGCCATCGTGTGCAGTGCCATCAAGGCATACGCTATGAGTACCAGTCTGGACTGCGGCGAGAACACTTCCTTCCAACTCGGTTGTTTGACCGGGGCTTTCTTCCGCTGGGGCGGGTTCCCACCCAGCAAAGGGGTGTTCTCATCGTCCTGCCCTGTGTACCGCGCTTTCTCCTCTCGTGAAGTACTGCAACTGGTCAGCATTTTGCCCAATACCAAGCCATAGTCGCGGTGGTCCTTCTTCGTCGCCAGCGTTTCCTGTATCATGTTAGATACTACCCATTGATAAGCTATGCGGCCATCTTACATGTAAGAACAAGAACCCCGTCGCAATACCAATGATAAAGAGGATGGCAGACGCTATGTTAGGTAAAATGAAAGGATTCCTCTTTAGAAACTCCGAGTTGCCAAAGATACCCGGGTGCTTCTCTACCGGATGTGCTAGGGCGCCTCCGAAAGCAGGGCCAAAGATAGTACCAATAGTCCACACCAGAGGCATGACGCTAAAGGCGCGGGGCTGCAGCTCCTTCTCTGGGACCATTTCGGCTACCATCGTACGGATAATGCCAACGTTACCGTTCATGAGCCCGAGCAGTGCGCGGGTGACCACTATCCATGCCAGGGTTTGCGAGAAACCGAATAACAAAGAAATAATCATGGTGCAGGTCAACCCCAACAGGATGATCGGCTTGCGACCGAAGTGGTCCGAGGCAGTGCCCCAAGTTACAGCCATGATAGCCTGACTGATGGACGTGGCGGCGGATGAGATGCCGACCCATTTGGCGACCTCATTCTTCGGGACGCCTACATATTCGATCATCTCCGGCTGCACAGGAGTCAGATATCTGCGAGATAGACATGGCCAACGAACAGATTCAGGAACTGAGTGACAACCAAACCAAACAAGGACAAGGTAAGGGGGCCAATATTATCTGGGAATGAAGGTGGTGCCTACAAGATACGGCAAAACAGAAGTCAAAACAACTGTGGACGGGAACAGATCATTTTAGCACTTGATCGCGCCATCGTTGACCGATCTAATAGCTAGAATCGGAAAACTCTGCAAGACGAGTTGAGGTTCACTGCACGTACCAGGCTCAGCAAAGCGACATATTGCTATTTAAAGCGCAAGAAGTGACGAGACACGCGATCAGTATAGCACCGAGCAACAAGGATTTGGCCGATCGACTTACAGAGAATGACTAGCTGCCGGACCGGCAGCCTTGGCTGTTTTTCCTGCATAAAGAGCCGTGGCAAATGGCGTGTTCGAAATCGTATATCAATGAGGTTTTGATAGGCCGTCGATCAGGGTCGACAGCTGTAAGAAAGGAAAGAAACACAGAGAGAGGGGAGGAGTCGAACGCGAAAGAGCGGAGATGAAGAGGTGAAACCGGCAACGATTGAAGATAGTACGTAAAGAAAGAAAGTCGCAGCAGTGGAGACTGGAGACGGGCTGGTGGATCAGGACGATCAAAACAAGTCAAGAGTCACGCTTGGACCCGTGACTCTCCATGCAGCAAGGGCTTCGGATTCTTTTCCGACCTCTTGAGTCCAGAGATCGTTTACTCCGCTTTTATATCACGTATTGAAGACCACAGCCTCTGATTCCTTTGTCTGACGTCTCTGGGTAATACGTAGGCTTAGATCCTTGTAACGTGCATCTACAACCATGACCGAGACGGTATAGTACTCTGCATTGAAGTCCTACGACGACGCATCCTGAGGTCAGCTGCTATATATATTCCCAACCACCAACGCTACGTCACATTCGCCCCCATACTACTGGTTCTGAAGCTAAGATGGTAGATGTTCTCAGCTCAGCTCTCTCCTGTCATCTATCCAACCATCATCTGTATCATTGAAGCACTTTCGTAGCGGCTTCCAGGCGATCCACAATGATAGAGCGCCATTTCTAATGAAAAGCTCACGTTAGCGGAGTCGTCATGAAGAGCTGAGCAGGGTATTTTCTGTCTTACCTGGGCATTTGCCGCATCACCGGCATCAAAACTCTCCACCAAGCCAGGGTACGTCGCACCCGCATATCCGGTCCACAGGCCGGGCGCAAACACCACATGTTTGAACCAGTGGCGCCCATCAAGTCCGGGTTCGTACAAGAAAGCCCGTTCAAGGGCCTTGTACTTGTCGTTCACCACGCGGATCTGGAAATAGAGCCTAACCTTCTTCCACCACAAATACCAGGGAAGATCTTCATCCAGCTGGGCGGTCAAGTCAGCGGCATAGGCGTCAAATTTCTTAGCCGTAGCCTGGAACTCGGCGACTGCTCTGTCCAGAGACCCAAAGTCAAATTCGCCGCCAGGCAATTTCTTTGCACCGGGCTTGATCTTCTCCAAATATTGACCGAGACCAGTACTATAGTCAGACGCACTAAATGACAGTACAGGGGCCTCGACCAGCTTGGCGGCCGCCAGAGACCAGAGCTTAGTGCAGGCTTCATGGTAGAGCCAACTAGGGTCACCAAATCGATCCATCCAGTCGAAGCTGTCATAGTTGGAGTGGTAGTGGTATACGGGGTCCTTGGGGCCACGGCCGAAGCCCAGGTCAAGGCTGGCCACGCCCGCAAAGTCCTGGAAAGCAGTGAAGTCACTACCGCTACCCATGGTTGCGATGTAGCCATCCCAGACATCGCGAACCGTTTGGCCTTCAACAGTCTGGTTGGGAGACTGGACGAGGCTAGTAACCTCATAGATTAAACTGTTCAGGAGCGGGGCCGCCCGAGGGCCAAGGACAGTTCCAGCGGCAGCCACGTCAACATTGAGATAAGCAACGTTGGCTTTGGAAAGCCAAGGAAGCTTGTCTTCCACCCATTCTGTTGATCCTAGCAGCCCATACTCTTCTCCGTCCCAGCTGGCAAAGACGATTGTGCGTAATGGCTTCCACCCTGCCTTAAGAGCTTCGCCAAAGCTGCGGATCACTTCATTGAGGACAGCGGAGCCACTGTTCGGGTCTCCAGCACCACCAGCGATCCAAGCATCCCGGTGGTTGCCCAGAATGACCACCTCGTCTGGAATAGCACCCTTGATGGTGCCAATGACGTTCCACAGGGGGGTAGTAACGTATTCTTGTTGATTGTCCAGGTTGATTACCACATCATCTGGTGAAGGACCAATGTTATATTCAACGCCCTTGCTGCCAAGTTTTCCGCCTTGCCATCCCTTAGGGAAGTCCGCTGCTTTGGGACCATGTCCATTAAGAGCCTTCAAAAAGGGTATGGCCTCCTTGTATGAGATTGGAATCGAAGGAATGGATGGGATTGCATCACTAGGGTCCTTACGGTCACATCCGGGCTTGGATGGCCAACCAGGTGTGGTAGGATCGCCGGGTGCAAAGCCTGATTCACCAAATAGTCAATCAACTGCAACTAGTTCTCGATCTAGCACATGAACACCGTAGGGACTTACTCAGGAATTGGGTGCTACCCCGTTGCACAGCACTAGGATTCCGGGCCGGACCATCGGGGTACGGCTTGTATCCGTTTTCCTCTGTAACCTCACCATCGTCCTCCGGGTCATCATACAGGATCACACCCACCATGTCCAGCTCCTGTGCGCGCTTCACCTTCAGGCCCCGGAAGATGTGGCCATACTTGGCGATCGCAATCTTGCCAGCAAGACTAACATTGGCATCAACCAAATCTTGGTAATCCTGATAAGAGCCGTAGTTGACGTAGACGAATGGAGCAGTGACATTTCCACTGGCCGAATAGCCATGGAAAGTAGGCACGCGGTCAGGCAGACCACTGGTGCCATCCTCTTCTAGGACGTCTTCTTCTAGGGTAGCCTCGAACGTAACTTCAGTCTGGTCCTTGGACTTCTTTAGCAGAGCCAGGCGGTGGTCCAGAGGGTAGTTGATGTAGACATCGTAGGCCACAATTTCAGTGTCCTGGATGCCAAACTCTTGCCAGCGCTCCTCGGTCCAGATCGCCTGGCTCAGGTTTTTGCCGGCGAGATGAGGGCCCGCCGTATAGTAGCTGCTCCATTCCCGTGCTTTCTCCGCGGACGGAGTCGTCTGAAGAATTGCCTGCAGCTCCTCATATTTGAGGCCGTGACCCTGGGGCCAAGCTTTATGGGGAAACGGACGCGCTCCAGGGAGATAAGACCAGATGGAGCCATGCTCCCGTGGAAAGACAGCCGTGGGAAGGAGGAACAAGAACAGAGAGATCACCAGCAGCGTTCCGAGAGTGAAGCTACAGAACTGTCGTAGCTTGTGGTGGGGGTACCGGTGCCGCTGGGGAGCGACGCTGACCACCTGCAGAAGGGGTGTGGATTCGGAGGGCGCCATGGTATGTGGCATGGACTTCTCCCTCATCTCGGGGGGCATGGTTCAACTAAGTGAATTGAGGGGATCGGAGGAAACAGCGGTCAGGCATGGAACAGACGATCGCTCGCATTGATCAATCCGCGTGTTCAGTGTGACAGCTCCCATGCAGGGTTGGAGAAAGGGCGAGAGGATTTGGGGGCGCCTGGAGGGCTCAGCTTTTTATCTAATCGGAAGCCCTACGTAATGGACAGTCATTGGGTTCTCTTTATCGGTCCCGTGCGGAGTCCGGAGCAAAAGCGGAGCTCAAAGCTTATCACCCATCAGTGACTTTACCGTATTTGCCGAACGCCCGGTTTGACAGCTCTACATCCAATGCTACTACCATTCTTGAAGTTACTACTACACCATACTGTATCACTCCTACCACGGCTCCTCTACAAGCGACGACCCGGTCGCCTTGTTCGTTGCATGCTACTCTGGCAAAGAAAAAATCAAGTCCGTACATTTGAAACCCACGAATCGCACGCCATCCGTCGCGTATATGAGGCAATCTTCCCTCACCAACATCGTCGAAATCACAAAACACAAGAGGTATCACGTGCCACGCTTCTCTTATATACAATCAAGACCAGACACACAGTATGCGAACAGGAAGGGAAGATCAACAAACAAACAAGCAAGCAAAGAAGAACATGAGGCTACAGTTACACATCAACTGAATGCCTCTCAAGTTCTTCGGGAATCGGAACCTTGTCGTTCAATGCGAAGTTTAACTTTTCACCAATATCGATGCTATCGCGCAAGATCTGCCGAGCGGCTTCGTCGCTAACCCCCATGTCTTCCTTGACCAGTCGGACCGCTAATTCAGGCACGAGCACAGCTTGTGCGTAACCCACAACGCCAGCCGACTTCACAATGTGGTCGCTGGCCGCCAGGCGGCGTAGCTTGCGCGAGAAACGTGTGGTCAACGCTTGTAACCTGTCCAACCCTTGCATTAGTCTCGGATATATCACAATCGGGGCAAGTGCCAGAGGAACTCTCACATTTTACCAGAGCCTCGAGTACCGTAATAGCCGCAAGAGATCGTCTCCAACCCATCTCCCTCCAATGTCAGCCGGAAGTTCTTGGCCTTTCCGGCTTTTAAAGTCGAGTCTAGGATGTTTCGGTAATAAGACTGGCTATCTGGGACCAGGAGACCCTCCAAATCATCAAAATAGACATGGATCCGGTCGTCGAACGTATGCCAATCAATAGCTGGGTAGCCCTTATCGTGCCACTCTTTCTCGGCCGCGGTCTTCTTATGCGAATCGCAGAACCGCTGCTGCTCTCGAATGCGCTGTTTTGGCTGTGACTGAAACCGTAACAAGAGTTCTGGGTCTACAGCTTCCTTACACCAGGGACATAAAGACTCCTTCGGCTTCAGCGCATCGTCCGTATCATCAAATAGTACCTCTTGTAAACCGGTCTCAGATAGCTCGCTAAGCGGGGAGCTAAGTGGTGAAGCATCGTCGTCATCTGAATCAAAGATAGCAGGTTCTCGGGCAGAGGAGGGCGCAAAGGAGCTAGAGACAATATCATTCGGAAGAGGGGGAGGAGCCTTGAACTCGGTGGAGGAGCGCGATTTAGACGGCGGACTTCTGATGTCAATATCCTGGGGGACCTTAAATCCATTATTCTTCTGGGATTCCGTATCCACGTTCTTTATTTTTCTCTCAGTATTCGGCGAATTGCCTGCCGACTTCGGCTTCGGTCGACTAGATGAAGGCGAATCCGTTTGTAAAGGCGTGCTCGAGTTCCTGGAATAGACTTCAGAGTTGCGCTTCTTCTTGGATCCATAGTCGGCCCTGGACCTCTTCAGGGTTTGTGAAGACCAGCCACACTCTGAAAAAGGATCGCCATTGTCCCTCTCATCGACGGGAACTGTATCTTTTAACGTCCTCTTTCGACTCGAGCGTTGAGGCCTCGGACTCTCAATTCCTCTCTTTATTCGCGGGGTTTGTAGTGATGCACTATTGTCTCTCGAAGTCTCCGCTAGTTTCTCCTCCAAAGTCGGCCCTGAGCGACGAGGCGTGCTCTCATTCCCGAACTCGTCATCTCGGCTGGCATTGCTTCTCGTTTCTTCCTCACTGGAGCTCACAGGTTCATCATCTGTGGCCGGCTCGAGCTTAGTAACAGGCTCAGGAGCTTCTTTATCCCGAAAAGTCGAAAGCAGAGGTTTTCCGTGGTAATTTTGTCTGGTCAAGCGGTTCGATGCGTAGCTCGAATCGGGTTTCGGCCGAGGGGTGACCATAGTGGCTCGGGCCGGCGAGTGGCTTGGGGCGTGTGGCGTGTCTCGGGGCGATTGCGCATTTGTTTGAGTAAGGAACTATTGCAGAGGAATTGTTTTATGAACGAGTGAGAACAAAGTGAAGAGCGATCACTCTCGGAGATCGAGGGGGGGGGGTTGGCAGGAAGAAGGGGAGAAACGCGTGTGGTGACACGCTATCGATAACTCCGCATTTAAATCAATCTAATTGCTAAGAAAAAGTAAGGCGCAGCTGATCCTTGGCTTCAACTTTTGAAGAGATCTGACTGCCATTGATGGTCAATTCAATTTAGCTCTATCAATCTTTTACTCAGTGGCCATATGTGAAAAAGAATAATAATATATATAGCAAATGCAGCTAAGGGGTGTTAACAATAATCTAGGCCGCGTCGCAAGGCTCGGAACATCGTAAGAGCTTGCAAGACATGAAGAAGCGCTAAAGAGTAGTAATAAAAAAGAAAAAGAAAAGGGCTGGTGACTGTTTATTATGCTGCATCGTGCCCTTGATTGAAAAATATGCAAGAACAAAAAAGATGGGTACTCCCGACCAGAACTCGATCAACAATATGGAACCTTGGGTCTCCAATGCAAAATATGGTCAACGGTTCGCACCTTCTATGCACGTGAAAGAAGAAATAGTGGAAAGCAAAGGGTAACGTTGAAAGAACAGAGGAAGAGAAGATGGAAGAAGTCGAAGACAGGAAAAGGCAAGATATAACAAAGGCAAGCCAACAGATGAAGCAAGAACTATTCGTACTTCACCGAGAATTAGACAACAAATAGCGTATAATCAAGCTGGACACATGCGTCTTCGTTCTAATCTTTATAGTCGTGGAACCACATCACTCAAAACTCATAGAAATCTCTCCTTCTTCCCCGTTGCCTATGTCGTGATCCGCCCAGGCATTGGGCTCGAGAGCCAATGCACCAAGTGCACTGGCACCGACGCCAGCAGCAGCACCGATACCAAGACCAGCGGGTGTCGTCAATGATGATTGCAGCTCTGGCCGTGTAGAATGGTTATCGTATGAAGAAGCAGTTGTGGGCTCATAAAATGAATGCGAACGCTGTGATGGCTCATGATAGGAGGTATCGAACGTCATTTCTATCTCTTCTTCTTTATGGGCAGAAGGCTGCTGATCATGGGAAGCGCTGGGGACGGAGTAAGGTTCAGGCGGCGATTGGGGAGCGGATTTGGTGAGATTGACAGCCTTCATAGTATCCTTGTTATCTGACGGATTCGGCGTAACTGGAGCCGAGTTGGACGGAGAGTTCAAATCAAGCTTCATAGGAGGCAGCGTCGACTCGAGTTGTTTCACTTCGATACTTTCGGATGCGAGTTCGGCTCTGATCGCATCGATGTCAAACAACACACTTCCAGTTCCGTTACTATCGCTCGAATCCCGCGGTGTGGCATTGTTACGCTCCACGTCGTATGTTTCCCAGCCTTTCTTTTGGGCCAACTTGCCTCGTTTGAACAAGCCGAACCGTTTCTTTTCTGGCTTTGCCTCGGCTTCTCGTCGAGCCTCGTCGATCTCGCGGATAAGCTCTCTTTGTCGCTCGGCGTGGTTTTCTGGATCGGGGTCCTCGAGCTCTGCGAACTCGTCTCCCAAAACCTCCCACCCAACCTCTTTCAACAGTCGGGGCATTGCTGCTCGATAGTCCATATGACCGTTCACGAGCTTGGTAACGTCGAAGTTCTCGAGGCCGGGGATCCCTTCCACGGGAGCGAGACCAGCCACACGCATGATTCCACCGCTTGTTGCACGAAAGAGATAGCCCAGGATCCAATCATTCGAGGAATACCCGTTAACAAAACGGCCCGATACTACACTACGAGCCTTTAAATACTCATCTTTGTTGGCCACAATAGGCGACCCGAATAGGTAGACGTTCTGCACGAGTCCGTGGGCACCTCGATCTGCAAGCTCTTTTAGGCAAGAAAAAATAAGTCGAGCGCCGAGAGAGAAGCCCAGGAGCGTGACAGGCCGCTTCCCAAGATTGCGTTCCATCAAGGAATCAGCCAAAATCAGCCCGGCTGCGTTCGCGCGAGCCAATGAAACGATCCATGGGTTATCAATCAAGTACGACAGTTTCGTAAGGACAAGTGGCAACTGCAGAGATGACATTAGGGCTACTAGAACAGTGCTTCCAAGGACTTGTTGCAACCCTTGAGTTAATGCCTAGTAACAGTTAGCAACTACCCAGCGATAGCTGTACGCGAGAGACACGTCCTGACACCTACCTCTGTAGCAAGAATATTGATGGTATCTCCCATGCTCCGAAGCATTTCAGGCTCCCAGAGCACCGAATATAGATCTCCCATTATAGGATCCACCGTACTGAAGGGCAATCGGACGTCATCCACCTTACCAGTCATCCAACCAGACACGGTGACAATCAGGTTGACTCTTTTGTTGTTGTGCAGGGGACGGTACTCGAAAGTCTGGACAGCTCCTGTGCGCCTGTTGGAAGCCCTCAGCCCAATCGTCCCTCCGGTCAAGGTGGCTCCAGAAGCAATAATCGCCGTACCACCCACTCCTCCCAGGAATGCACCAGTCCCTGTGATGCCTACAGTGGTAAACCCAGCTGCAAGGCCAGCACCAATCACTGGGGCCAACAACCCAGCGGAGAGACCAATGACCAACCCACCACCAACAGTAGCCAGGCCCATAACGATATATTTTCGTTTCAAAGCCATCTTTCGGCGTTTTTCCATGTGATCCGACTCATCCCAGGTTTCTTTGTCCGCTTGTTCTTGCATTTCTAAAGCATCAACCACGCGCTTTTCGAACCGGGCAATTTGTAGCCAAGACACTTCCATTGACTCGCCTACTTTTTCCAGTAAGGTTCGTGACCGTGCATCATAAGCCGAATCTGCAATGAGGACAAGGAAGAGATCACAGAGCACCGTCCACCGAAGATCTATATCAATATTTGTCGAGGTAGGAAGCTGAGAGGGGGTTCGAACTTCGGGAAGATCTTCGCCCTCGTGTGTCTCATAAGGCGGAGGAGACGTTGACCTGTCAAAGTCGGAGGATAAACTGCTTCGATATTCATCCTTTAGGCTCGGGGTCGTGGGGGATGATAGGGAGTTCTTCGGCGTGTCGACTTCCTCAGCTAAAGGATTCTTGACTCGAGCATTCTGCATGAGAGGCCGGACAAGATCTGCAGGTTGGACGCCATGTTCCGCCAATTGTTCGATCATCACCTGCTCAGCGGCGTCGATATCCATATGAGCATAGATCCTAGCCATTATTGTTTGGCCCCATTGACGCATTGAGTCAATGGTCTTTTGTTTTGCCTTGCGTGTACCCTTCGTTGCGGGAACCCGGTCCAGGTCTCTAGTCATCTGGAATATAGCCAATCTGGCAACTCCGACGTATGCTATCCTTTGACTCTCAGTCAGCAGATCCTTTGTGGCCTGCAATTGACTGACGGCGTCGCGCAGCTCCTCTCCTTCCACACCAGTCGCGTTGTGAGCGGCTTCTTTGAAAAGATAGCTTGTATCTTCATCTAGACTTGTCGCCGACTGAGCGTCTTCATCAAGTTGCACTCGGGTATAGCCCTTTCCGGCGCCTCCCAAGCCCCTGTAGACTGCGTCATTATCCTCTGGTTTGGCACCACGAGCAACCAGCCTCCCAAAGTCGTCATAAACATCGAACTCGTCAATAGCAGGCATATCCTGCCACCCACCATCACTTTCTACTTCCTCTTCGTCCTCCGATTCCTTAGACTCATAGAGCCGCTGATGTGACCATTCCGAAGCTTTCAGACTCGACCGTTTCTTTTGTACGGCATCTGACTGTGTAGAAGTAGAGGGTTTCTCTGCATTAGGCTTTTCCGTGTAAGGAGGGGGCGGGAAGCCGTCCTCATGGTCAGGGAGTGAGCCACCAGAGGTAGCATGTTTCTCATTGCCCATAAGCACACTTGGATCTTTCTCCCGGGGAGATTCAACCGGGTGCTGTTCGACTGCTGGTAAAGATTGCGTCCCTTTCTCTGCATCCTTTCCTTTCTCAACTAATTCTGTGCTTTCCTCCCGAGGAGATTCAGCAGGGTGCTGTTCAACTTTTAGTAGAGATTGTGTCCCTTTCTCTGCATCCTTTCCCTTCTCGACAGATTTTGTGCTTTCCTCCTGCTGGGGTGCTTCTGGCTTTAGATCGTTTGTTACGGGCTTGCTCTCCTGTGAAGTTGGCTGGTTATCACCTGAGCCCGAGACAGCCTCCTCAACATCATGAAACTCCTCATTGTCAGACGATTCACCGGAGCGTACAGGCCTAGCGCGAATTCGAATTGGCAGCCCAAACTCATCTACCTCCTCCGTTGCCGATCCCGCGGTCGGCTCACTCCCCGCATTGCTCCCGACCGGACTAGCATTCTCCTTCTGGGGTTTGATATCGGGGGATCTTGGACTATTCTCTGTGGCCTTGATCTGGGCATGCTCCGGATCGTGCGAAACAGCGTGGGAATGGTCGACAGCGGGGTCGCGAGAGTGGTCAACGGTCGCACTGGAGGTCATACTTCATCGGTATCCCTAGGTTGGAAATCGGTTTCAATCGCCCAGATCCTGTCTTTCACCCTTTGACCACCGTGAAGATTCCCGCATAGACCACGCATAAGATCACCCATACGCGCGAACGCACCGCCACGAATTTCCGACCCTGCAATGTCCTCACACTTTCCGAGCACGGATCGTGACGAGCTCAGACCGTCGGGGCACTCAGTTGTACGCTGACCGTTCTCAATATCGGTCGGGGGAGGAAATTGATACAGCCGTCGGTATAGATTCAGGGGGACGGGATTCCTCGAATGGTGGTGTGGGGGGTGCCACCGATAGGCAACAGGAAGGAAGGAGACGGGGGGCGTGTGGAAAAGCTGATCGGCAACGCAGAGACCTCTCTGTTTTTCTCCTTCTGTGTTATTTTTTTTTCTGTTGTTTTCTGCAGAAACAACGATTCCGGGTCTTGGCTGGGAAACAGGCCTCTGCGATCGGGGAGTGTGGTGCAATCGTCCCGAAAGCGGCAACGGGGATGGAATGAACCCGTGGTTTGCGGAAGAGAACCTTAAGAGACAGAGACATGGTCAGTGAGTTGCCTGTCACGTCAGTGGCTCTTTAGTGTGTGTCTCGGTGGGTGTCTCGAGTATTGTAAAACACTCGGCCACCCCCCCCAATTGTTGTCAGCTTGGGGCCATCTTTATATGCCCTAAGACAGTCCTTTCAATCTGATACATGTTCCATTACCATTATGAATAAGGTTACATCCGACCAAGATCGTGGTTCTCCTGGTCTGTCGGCAATGCTGATTGCATTACCCATTGATACACGTTCTGTTACAGCTCGATTAGCTAATCCGGGGCCTCTGCGGAGTTGATTTCCTGGACTCGCTTATATCAACTCCATACGGAGTATACTCTGTAAAGGACGATGCTTCTAAGGTGAAGTGGAGCAAAGGATCTTAGATACTACTAGTAAGCTTATAGATGTACTCGATCATGTGAGTTCCTATTTGAACCCTACGACCGAATCCGGACGGACAAACGGACATCCAAGGCGATATCTTTCAAATATATATATTCTCGATCAAAAATATAGCTCTCAATAGTGCGTATAGCCAAAAAAGAAAAGAAAAGAAAAGAAAAAAAAAATCTTAAGCATCCACAAAGTCAAGTGACTAAATCCAGCAACCCAACCAATCCCAACCCTAATCAGCCACAGACAACACCTTACTATCATCTAACAAATCCCCAAAGGACCTGTCATTCTCTCCACCCTGAACAGAACCACACCAGCACCATTCTCCCATAACGGTCAAAAAGCCCCAGTCACAGTAGAGAAACACTCAATCCTAGAAAAATGACCTCCCTCCACCAACGTCTTCGCTGTACCGCCCTTATCTAGATCCTGTCGAGCGGCCCGACCTTGGTCGGTCTGTACGTAGGCCACCGGTTCATCGTGCGGATTCAAGAGGTCTTCTCTGGCGTTATCGGCTCTTGATCTGGCCTGTTCCACCAGGGTCCCTGGTCACATGGTTTATGAATTAGTTATTGTGCAATAGGGTAGGAGCCATATCATGGAAGGATATGAGGGAACATGGCAAGCACGGGTCGAGGGCTCCTTGTGAGATAGATCGGATAGGCCTGACATATTGTTTGATGTGTAGCTATCGTGGTCGTGGCCTTGTGACTGCTTTGTTAGTCTAGTCGCTTCTTACTATGAAATTGATCTACTATCTGGTCGGGCTTTTGTATGTCTGTAGAGTGTTAGGGTTGAGGTTTACGAAGTTCTACGTCGAAGGATGGCTCATCAGCCTGTCCGTATTGGAAGTTGGAGATGGACCCTTTTTGCAAGTAATGTACTCTAATACAATGCGAGCATAAGTGAAGAGGAGCAGTTATTTTGTACCCTATGAAGTTGAGCCTCCCCGAGAGCGGAGACCCAATCGTCGATGGAGTCTAGTGGAATCCACACTGACTCGCGCTCACAAGGCTTACGTATCTGCCGATGGAATGCCGAACTTTTTTGACTTAGTCAAAATTTAAACTTCTCCCGGATCTAAGAAACTCTAAGTGGGCAAACTATACAGTATGCATATTTTAGCGACTGCGATCAGACTCGGCTATCTCCAGAACCACGGGGGTTCACGGCTGCCTGTCGAAGAAACGGGCGGAACAGGAATACGCATGACTGGGACCAAGAAATGTTTACAATTAATGAAAATCCACTGGGCAAGACTAGTAAACACTGCTGGAAAGAGTCTCCCGGAGTGACCTCCGTATTTAGCCAGGCAATTTAGCCGTGCCAAACTTCCGTAGGTGCTCTGGAAACATTCCTAAAGTGGAAACATCCCCACGATCGTCGGGTGTTCCGTGTCGACCGAGCCTCCGAGAAGGGGAACGTCGAAATACGCGCTGCTACGAACTAAACCGTTGGGGGCCTTCCTCCGAAGTTTTCCCACAGGTTTCACCTGATGATTTGATTTGATTTCATTTCATGTCATGCCCACCCCCTCCTTTCTTCCTCTGTCCTCTGAAGAAATCTATCGAATCTGAGATTCAGTCTCTCTTTCCACGGTGCTGGTCACTGTCCAGAATGACCCATTCCACCATGTGCAGAGCGAAGCGACTATGAACATTGAACATTGAACATTGAACGGTTAATCACGCGAAAACCTCCCATGGCGCCTTTCTGGGAAAAATGTACCCCAAACTAACTCCTTCCGAACCATCTGACCTGCATTTGGACCCCTCTACATCCCCGGCAACGGAGGCATCCCGCAGATACTGCCATCGGGAAGCCAGCCGTCAAGCTCCATCCCTGTTCGAGGAGGAACGGGAGGCTGGCTTGGCTGCGTGGGGTCCAGCGCAACACCTGGCTGCGAAAATTCTCCATATGGATACTGAGTTGGTACCACCGGCGAGCGGTAGCCGGCATATTGATTCATGAGAAAAACTTGCTGATTAGCTTGATCCGCCTGCCAGATCGTATTCGTGGCCGCTGATGCTCCATAGGCCCCATCCATAGGGCGCATAACTGCGATCTGTGGCACTTCGGCATTCATTGCAAGCGTTCCTACTGGCTGCGATGAGTCGGCCGAGCTGAACTGCGTAGGTTGCATGGGTGCCGGGCTCGTAGAGCGCCGTGGACTCGCACTCGGCGGTGGAGCAAGGCCGACGTCGGTCTGCATCTGTCGCTGCTGAAACCGGTCGTACCAATTTCGAGCCTTCACCCCGACAATATACAACCACCGGCTTGGGACCTTATACTTCATATTTCCGCTCGCCTCCGTTAGCCTTCTCGTCATGGCCTCTAAGTACATCTCAATATTGACGGACTGAGGGCTCACGAATTCGCCCAGGGCTCCTGACTTGACCGAGAAGTAAACCTTCAGGAGTGACATGACTGCTACACCGACTCGTGTGTAAATCAGATTGGGGAGTTTGCGCATCAAGTCCGTGTCACAACTTAGGAAGAAGTCAAGCATCTCTTGAGCTGCATTCATCCATTTGATTGTGATGTCTACGCGAATAGCGCTCAGAGGGGCCTTTGACGGCTGGTGGCCATCCTCTGGTGCTGGGAGTACATAATACTGTTGTTTAATCGCATCCGGGTCTCGATAGCCTTCACCGACACCGAGCTCGTAAATAGCGAGGTTGGTAAAATGGTATTCGAAGGTCATGGTCACTGACAAGCAAGAAAGTGGTCAGCCTTGGTCCCGCTACCGTTCCCATCTTCCCAGATACCGAGGAAAATTACCGGTGAGCATGTCCGCCGAAACGTTCTTTTTCCAATTCTGCATTTGATTGTCGAACCACCTCAATATAACCTGGACCCGTGATTCTGTCAGCGGGGTCGTTGAGCTGGTATCGTCAAGACCGAAGGAAGCCATAGCTTGGTCAACGATCTTCTGCAATTCGAACCAGGCCGCCATGTGTCGATCTATCATATTAGGGGAACGCTCGAGATGTTTTACACATTCGTGCATCCAGTCGTTGAAGAGGAGCAAGTTGGGCCGGCGCGTTTTCATGGCAACGCTGTGTCATGTTAGCAACTGCCCGCTACGCACGTGTTCCTTGTCCTTACTTGGAGGCCAAATGATAACACCCCAGAATTGCTCTGGCCTGTTCTGCCATGTGTTCATCGTACGCACCACGTTTGCTCGCTTTGCGACTTGCACTATTCGGTACCTTACATTTTGAGGCCAACCCGATCTCCAGGGCCATGGTGGCGGCGATGTGAGTATACTGATAATTCTGCAGTTTCAACGGAGATTCCGGTGGGTAGTAAAAGACGATCATCAGGAGCAATGCCTGAACCAACTCGAAGGACTTATCACCATTGATGAAAAACCGTTCGGCGTAGAGTCGGACCAATTCGCGGTTGAGGACGACAGCCAGACTATCATCTACAGCAATCGCCGCGGCGGCAATCACAGAGAGAAAAAGCATAGGCTTCGACCGACGCAGTTGTGAGGCTGTGGTATTTGGAGGGAGCAGAACCATGGGGGCAAAAGCGGTGAGCTCGGTGATATAAAAGGACACCAACTCGTTGGCAAATTCCAGCGAGATTAACCCCCGATCGATAATGTCGCTGCCCGAGGATTCTTCGAGACCATAGTAGGGTGGGATGGGCGTGGCAGAGGCGAAGGCATCAGAACCACTATTAAGAGTGTTTGGGTACGACGAAGAGGGTGGCACGCCAGGCGAGAGGTCCATGTTTCTGAAGGATCCCGACGCACTGCTCGGGGCATCCGGCACAATGGATAAGGTTTCTTGGGGATCAGCCCCGAAGTCAGGTTCCTCTGAATCCTCGACTTCGCTGCCACAGCTTCCTGAGCTACTTTCTTCATCGATGCGGAAGCGGTCCTTGAGAAGGGAGCGCATCTGTCGCATCTCCCTCTCCAACTGAGCCACCCGCGAATCGGTTCGCTTGCGTGGTCGTCTTCGTTGGGGAGCCACAAATACGCACGTTCTCTTGGCCTTGGCACATCGCTGGCACTGATTGGGAGATTTGGGGTCAGGAAGGCAGCGGACCTTCAGACCTCGACATGATTCACAGGATCGGTTTAATTGCTGGGTGGGGGCTGGGTGTTGGAGTATACCCGGTTCACCAGGCGTTGAGGGGGTAGCCGACATGGTCTGCCGGCTTTGCTGATGTCGTGAGCTAGCGTAGAAAAGGGATACCCGAAGTGTTATTGACGGAAGCGCAGCGAAGGATCTGAAAAGGTCGACGACGATAACTGACAGAAACCGCTGAAGCTGCTAACGTTATAAAACCCCATCTCTTCAATATGACCAGGGATAGTACATGACGATGGGGTAGTCCAGGTTATTGGAGAAGCGATGATAGCGGCACCCTGGCCGTCACAGTCCAAACCACGCGATGGAGCAGTAGCTCCATCTAACGGCCTAGCAGTTGTATTTCCGCACCCCAAAAAGGGGAACGCCGAGTAAGCTGCAGAACGACTAAATCCCACACGTTTTCTCACCCGCTCGTGCATCCAGGCTGGACAGGCAGACCGGCAAGCTTCCAGTTGGAAATTCCCGTGGCACCGATCCCTCACGCTGCAGAAGTCGTCACCCATGCTGAAGAAGGATTCAGTGTTGACATGGATTGCACGCGAAGGTCGTAGTGGGCCTTGAACAAGCCCCAATCATGTGATCTTCGAGCCACCAAGTGGGATCGAAATCTTTTTTTTTTTAATTATTTTAAAGTTTCCGCTGGGTCACACACACGAGAAGGAAACAAAAAAAACCATAACGGTTTTTATTTTAAAACTGGGGGGTGGTTTAATACCTTAGACACCGTTACAGCCATTGCTTTAGTCTACTACTACTACAGACACTCTATGGAATGGGGGGTGTTCGCTCTTCTGTCTTCTGTTCTCTGCACGCTTTCCTCCCGTTCCTCTGATTAGACCCTGAACAGTTAGACCCGAGACAAAAGGAAAAAAAAAAAAAAAAAAGAACGGGTATACTCCACCAGGCGAATTAGATTAATAAGAGCGCGGAATATATGAAGCACGCTTCTTACTAGCAGGACGATGTGAAGCACTGAACGGGTGCCCAGGACTCGGGGAAGGTCCATGAAAGTGGGAAAGTGGGAAAATCTGATACCTAAAAAAATCCTAAAAAATTCCCAAACGACAATAGGACGATCACGGATGCGTGATCGCAGACCTCAAACCTGACGAATCAGGGCGATCGGTTCCCCGCAACGCGACGGACGCTGGCCAATCACCGTTCGCCCACTGGGCCTTGACAGCCCTGTACATCCATCACCCCGTTGGGGAATTTTTCAGATCCTCCACCTGGATTTTGGCGGATGTCGGCCCTGGCTGGACGGAAATTCCCCAATCGATCCCTAGCACAAACTGGCGATATTGTCTGTAATGATGATCGTCCCCATTGCATTGGATGAGATGCACTCCTAGGTCCCAACCTAAGGGAACTACCCCAGCATTGGCGATGTTGCCTACGTAGCGAAGGGTCGATGGGGCGACTTCCGACGCCCGTAGTATGAGGGCCCCGTCTCCATGATGCGCTCCCTCTATGCCGGATGGGGAAGGTCCCTTTCATTAGGTGAGTGAACGTAGTTAGTGAGCAGGTCGCTATCGACAGGTTTTGACCGTCATTGCCTCCTCTCAGACTAGCGTTCTAACTATGATTCTCCTGGTTCCTCAGCGCTGGATAGACCGGCAGCCTGTGTCGGGAAATAATACAAAAAATCACTCGGGTCCATGCCTACGGAGTAGTACCTTTTCGTCCCCGTCGACTGTTGGACTCCAACTGAACCCTCCGCAACACGTGGAACTGCCTGCATGGTCAGGCCCCTGCAGGCATCCCTGGCTGGCCAATCTATTTCGGCAAGGATCCCACGCACTGTCTGCTCAACGGTTTCTTATTGATTGTCCGGCCTGCATTGGTTATATTACTATGGCGAGAGCAGCGAACCACTTTTGGCTCAAGTCTACGCGGGACCGTGAGGATGGTGGTTGACGACTCGCACGAATTGGCGGACGGGGGGTTTAGGTCGAATTGCACTTTCTTTTATTTTGATATTCCGAACATCTGAACCCCATAACAACATGAACCCATTTAGTTTTTGTTTCCCCCCCTTCTCCTGTGACATTGTCTCCGTATCCTCCAGGAATGGTGCCGAGTACTAAATTGTCCTCCAAAGCCAAAACATGTAAACATACAACTTAGTACCACCCGGCAAATGTTGTCCAATGACAACGAGCCAAAATCACAACATTATACAAAAAAAAAAAAAAAAAAGAACTCAAGTCAATTCCCTGCGCCGATTGCTGGCCCAACACGCTAAGCAAGAAGACAATGCAACCCGCGAAACAGAAGCAATAATTAAGACACGGTTGCTCCGAAGCTAAAGTATGATGCTCGAGTCGTAGGGTGGTAATACATATTGACAGAAATCCAAAGTGTACATTGCCCATATCTCTCCACCCAAAAAAAAGTTAATTCAAAACTGTACAGCTGTAGAAGAAGGTTAAAAAGAGGAGAAAATCAGGCAACCTCATGCAGGCCGTGTGTGGCCTGGGGGAGGCAGCCCCGCAGCCGCCGCTCCGTACGGGAAGTAAAGCTCGGGGTATGGGGTGTGATAGGGTTGGGGCGGCGGCGGCTGGAGACCGTGAGGGCCATGGGGTGCCGGAGGGAAAGGCGCTACAGTCCGGGGATCGATGGGTGCATACGGTACCATTGACCCCCGCGCTGGAGGCATTGGTGCCAGTTGGGGATGTGGACCGGGGGGGCCGGGTGCCAGAGAGCCTGGCCCAGGCATTGCTGGTGCTGGAGCAAGACCTGTGTCGGCTCTGGTGGGCGCTCCAAAAATTGGGCTGTCTGGTTTCTTCTTTTTGCCTACAGTCTTTGGAGGCTCGGCTGCCTTTCTGGCCGCTTCGGCCGCCCGATCAGCCTCAATCTGAGCTTTAGATCGTTTCGGGTTACGGGTCCGGCCCTCCCGGTTGAATCGGGCCCAGTGGTTGAGCATGGCCTCTGTCCGCTTTGGATTCTTGGAGTTGGCGATCTTTTCGCGGCGAGCCTTCTCAGCCGGGTCGATTAATTCATCATGGGCAACGCCTGCTTGAGTACTGACGGGAATAACGGTTGCTGAATCCCCGCTGGGCGCCGGTTCAATTGGCGCCAACTGAGCCGCCGCAGGACGTGATTGTAACTGCCCAGCGGACGTTGTAGCCTCGCGGCCGTTGCCACGACCAACGGACCGAGCTGGCGCCACTGGCGCCACAGGCTGCGGAGCCTCAGAGCCCGCACGAGACATCCCTCGCACAGCTCCCCGCCCGCGGCCTCGGCCCCGGCCACGAACGGAGCCTCGTGAGGGGGCCGGAGACCCTGAGGGTTGAGTATCCAGCTCCCCGGCACGCCGGGTGCGAGTGCGCCGCTTCGCAAATGACTCTTCCTCTATGGGCGCCGGTGTCCCGTTTAATGCCTCGTCGGTCTCGTTGGCTTTGTTGGCTGCTTCCAACTCTGCGGCCTTGCGCTTGCGAGTTGCCTTACCGACGAACTCCTCTCGTGGAGGATTCTGAAACTTGGGAACATGCTCAACGCCGAATTTCGTAATCGTTGGCCAACCGTCAGGATTAGGATTATTTGGGCCAGCTTTGGCAGTCATCTTTCGGAACTGAGCTGGCGTAGGCTTGAATCCACCTTGAACGAAGGGGTTCTGGTTGCGAACTTTATCTTCTTTCGTTTCATGCTTGTAGCCGTAGAGCATCGCCTCCTTCTTGTCTTCATAAACCTCCGGTCTTTCGAGTTTCCGTGGGTCGCTGGTTGCCTTTACATTTTGCCGAGTTGCATGTCTGCAGAGCTTTTCGATGGCCAAGTACTCGTCTTGCCATACCTTCAGGACATTGGCAATGTTTTCGGTTATGGCGTAAAGCTCATCGCTTGAGCGCAGTTCAGGGTCACGGAGTTGGACCAAGAAATTTTCCAGAGGCGAAATCTCAAGGAAGTCTCCTCTAGAGCTCTTTGAGTTTTTGTAAGGTTCAGGGCGTACCAGTAATTCAGATGCATCACGTTTCTTGACACGTTTGGGGTCATCGAAGACTTTCATCCAGGTTCCACTGATGTTGGCCGATGTCTCGTCAAACCCTCCAGAAAATTTGCTGATTTCATGGAGGTTCCAGAGGTTATGAATACGTTTGTCCAAGGACACCGAGTCCTCTTGGCGAGAAAACTCGTGGAGTTGATTAAATAGAGCAAGGTCTGACTCGCCTTCATGGCCTTCTCCGTCACCTTCGGCTTCAGGACCATCAAGGTCGTTCTGATCATTTTCGTTATCGTAACCTTCCATGGCTTCGGTACCCTCATGCACACTATCATCAGCGGCTTCCATTAGACCATCTTCGTCGGCCTCCGGAGCCTCATCTGATTCAGATACTGGTGCTGTAGGTATAGTATCATCTCCAGGTTGTTCGTCGACATCATATGCCTCTTCTTTCTCTTCGTCGGCGACACCATCATACAAAGAGAACTTGGCAATGTGCGGATGCATCGTAGCAATGTGTTCTTCGAGAGCCTCATTTTGAGAATATGGGTCGTCATCTGAGGACTCGAAGAATTTCCCACACCATGCGCACTTAGCTCTGGGGGTGGTGGGTGAAGGGGAAGGCGAATGAGTAGTAGAATGAGCATGGAGTGGCTCGGAGAATTGTCGGCGCAGCTGCGAGTCGTGGCTGGCCATGTCCGAAGTATGGCTGTCCATGTCAATGTCGCTTTGAGCGACAGGAGCCATGGCTAGAAGAAAATGACTTAACTCGATTCAAGGTAGAATTTTAAAGGAAGAAGAAAAAAAAAAAAGAAAAAGAAGTAAAATCGATATCAACGATGAGAGGTGATGTAATTTTCACACTCTAGGAGACCCAAGAATGGAGCCTAGATATACTGTGTTAGTAGAGCTTGGGTTGAAAAGTTCGCTTCCGGTGCCAAGACACCCGGAGTACGTGCAGCGCAATCTTGAACAACAGAGGGCTGCATGTGCAATGGAAGACGGGGAAAAGAAAACCATGTGTGGTAGGGAGACAAAAATACAGGCGGGCCGCGCGAAGAAAAGCGACCTACCAACAGGGAGTATAATAGTGGGAAAAACTGAACAAAGGTTGAAGTAGGTACTTCTGGTGGCCAGACTGGAAGAGTAGTGCCGGCCAGATACACGGAATGTAACATACCTTTCGAACTGAAGTAAAGAAGCCGTCTGTAGAAAATACGGACAGGAAGAGTAAGGGATGTGGGGGATACCGTGTGGTGTTGGTTGACAAGTTGACAAGTTGACGACGAAAAAGTTGTTTGGGTCTACAGTAGCTCGCAGTCCGTGGGTTGGTCGCGAACGGCTGCCAGGGATAGTACAGTAAATTGAAGTCGTAGTCTTGCCTTCTTGAAAGGGAAAAGTCGAACGCCGAGCCGGTAGGCAGAGAATCTCGGTATAGTCCCAACCACGATCAGGACAGAACAAAAAAGTGTGCCAATGAGATAACGGGTCGAGTTGATGATGGACAATTTGGCGACTTGGGCGTAGTGTAGTAATTTTAGATGTCCGCAAAGTAGAACTTTGTCGCGGTAAGGAATTCGGGCGGGTATGCAGAAAACGAAAATGAGGGAGAAAAAAAAGACTATGCTCTGAACCACGGGCGAAAACCGAAATAACCAAAGGCTTTCCAAACAAGACAAAGCACAAGTAAAGACGTGATAGAAGGAGAAATTGGGAATCTTTAGAGGAAATCTCTGCTGGTAGCATGCAGCATGAGGCTGTCGAAGTAGTAAAATCTTGAGCGATGAAGCAAGTTTTGCTTCCAGTTACGCTCGCGCAGAAGAAGCGCGGTGGGCACAGCAGAGGCGAAGGTACAAAGGATCAATGATGAAGAAGAGATTGAAGTAATGGACGGTGGAACAAGCCGTTTGGAGTAGACGTTCCTGGACGAAAGGACGTTGTACAGGCCAAGATGGAGTAGTTGTTGTCATGTAGTGTAGAGGAAGTATGAACGTCTGACGAAAGGTTGGTAGACAGACGGAAGAAGGGGAGGTGGGAAGAGACAAGAGAGCTTAACGCGCACAGAGGAGGGAATCGAGGAGAAACACAAGAGAACACGGTGGGAGAGAATATAGAATTCGAGGAGGAGGAAAGGAAGAGATGTCGCGTTGTGTTGTAGTGAATGATGGCAGATGAAAAAAAATGACCCTACTAAGAGCCCGACAGCAACAAGCCTCTTCTCTGTATACAATAGGAGGTAAGGTAGTGAATTTACTATTGGTACCATACAGTATGAGTGGTACGGGAATTAATTACCCACCTAACCTGACCTGGTCAAAGCATCGACGGGCATGGTTAAGCCTGAAGGCCCTATTTTACTCCAGTACGGTAGTGCCATATTTCTTACCTTATTTTACCTGGCCGGACCCACCGTGGGAAAGTCGATTATGATGGGCCTCCCGGAAAAAAATCGCCTCCGGACAGATCTTCCGCCTAGCCGCATTACATAGTACTCTGCAACCAATCCGAGGCAGGATATACTTGACTTGTTACCTGTCTGTATTCTGGATGTATGGGCACAGGTCCCAATCTGGCTTTTCCTTTCAAAGCACAGTACTAACTCCGAGTACTTTGGCTGTCTTTCTTGACCAGAGAAATCCAACAACCGATGATTATCCCATTTGTTTGGTATCTTCCACCTGATTCTAAGGGCCCTTCGATCTCACAAAGAATAAGATAATATCATGGGAGGCTACCAATAGCTCCCTGTATCAATGGACGTTTCACAGACCCTGCCAATTATTATCTGCCCTGCAATATTTCTCGATGGACGGCGGGAGGCTGTAATTTTATTCGGTTTTGTAATCTATGATACCGAACCTTGACATCATATCTGCATTCGGTAACCACAACATACTCAGGTCCGTAAATCCAACTTCTACTTCTTTGATGTGAGCTTTATGGCATATTCAACTCGATGAGAATAATGGATGCCATGTAATGGCCAGTATCACAAGTCGCAGAATCCATTATATGAAAGCTGTACGATGAGTGATGCTCAGTACTCCCAGGAAAATGCAGTATACTATAGTTGCATCGCTACTGTATCCATAATATGTATGTACAAATCATCATGCGGTCCCTTTAATGGTTTTTCTCTCCAACGTCCAGTGCAACCAGGAACCGACTAACACAGTTGTAAGCTGCTGCAGTGGCAGTGATTTCCACAACCTCTCGATCGTTGAAAAGTCCCTTCAATTCTTGAAACACATCATCGGGTACAGTAACAGTTTTCGTCATGGCATCTGTATACTTCAACACCGCAGCCTCCTCAGGACTTAGCACCTTCTCTTGCGCTTTCTGGGGGATGTCAGCCTGAGCGTCACGGACGACTGCCACCGCTTCCGCACTGCATCCACCTTCCATGAGCAAGGGCGAGTGCTGATCCCATTCGAACCAGGCTCCGTTGACCACAGCGATGCGGCAGATGATAAGTTCACGAATAGCTTGGGAGAGGCTAGTGCGGGTTCGGATAGCCCCGATGAACGAATTCCACCCATCGGCAACTGGGAATGAGTGCAGAAGGGCGAGATCCAGAGGTATTAAGCCTTTTTCACCGCGTCGGGTTTGCACCCGATTGAGGATTTCTGCCTCTTCAGGAGTGGTGGTAGGGGGCGGATTGGGGACATATGGAAGACGCATGTCGAATAATTTCGCTTGGTAGGTGCAGTACTCGGATTACTAAAGAGTAGGGAGGTGGACGATAATTGTCTTGTTTAACTGTCGGAGGTGAGTTCCTGGATTAATTAATGGGGTAATGGGTAACTATACTCACCTTCTTGAATGAATAGGAATACTGCCCTTAACCGAGATGATATACCGGACTTATGTTCAAAAAATGGTCCTTAATTGTATTATCAGGCTAAGACAGGTGGGAAGATACCACTATTTATGCCAAGTCATGGTATCGTCTTGTCGTACCCCACGAGGAGCGGAACAGTGCGCGGGATTGAAGCCGTAGCCGCGGGTTGGACTAGTAGTAGTATAAGGTCTCCCCCGCAGATAGCTCCTTCGGTTATCAAAAGCTGCCGGGTACAACTGTTACGTGATCATGAATCAACTGACTCGTAACAAAATAGTCTAGCATCTTTGTAACACCTTAATACATAGCAAATAGGCTCCGTATCTATTAAAAGAAAGCCATACTGCCACGATACTGACAAATTATATCAATTTGAAACAAGGCATACCTGAGGTACACACAAGGCAGCTGCTATAGTTCACATGAGCACAGGGGTAAAGTCCTGTTCAGAATCTCTTTGTGGCCGTTGTCAGCTTAGGAATGAATATGATTTTCTCTGTTAACCGAAACTCAAAGATATATCCACCAATTTATATATGAACCAACGTCTGGCCAAAGTTACTCATAATGGCACAGGCATCATGTACTGATACTGCACAGCGAGGAGTGGCCTCTGGGGGTATGGCAAAAGGTCATGATGATTTGGGGCCGATATATATAAAAAAAAATGCTGTGTCTAAGGGTGTACTTCTCTATTATAGTCATTTTGCTTTGTTATTTCTTAATTGCTCGAAACAAGTCTACTGCCCCGAGGATGGCATACTTTCTAATAGCGGAGATCCATGTACTTGGAATTCGAGTCATGTGGCTTGGTAATTAGTGACAGGGCGAGTACTTTGTGAGGCCCTAGACAAATGCGACCTTTTTTTTTTGCTTCTCTTTTCTTTTCTTGCTTCACAGCTATTCTGCTGTAGGGGAAGGTGTCGAGGCCATTATAATTGCAAAACCTGGAACATCTGCTTGTTCGTGGCTCCCCAAACTCGAGGATATCACTATAATAAATAATTAAACTCCCAAATGAGGCTCACTAGAATATATGTCAAAAGAAAAAGCTCTTTTGGTCCGACGGTATGGGAAGATGGAGTGTGCGAACTGGTACGAGTGGTTGAGCCTACTACTACAAGCACGACACAGAGTATTAGGGTGTGCAATTCGGCTGTCTTCCCGGCATGATATCAGAGCTATTTACACCTTATCTACCCTTCATATCGTACTCAGATGCATTCAAGTCATATATGAATCTCGTCGTCTGTAGTCCTCATTATCATGTTGACCGCTTTCAACCGAGGTATATACTTTGGCCAGCGGTGATGCCAACATGCGGCGTGGTTAACATAATGAAACATGCTTTATTACTTTTGGCCAGAAGCACATTAAAAGAACAAAGGTAATATCTCCGGCGAGAAATTGCATGTTTCACAGGAGCGACAGGCAGATTTATTATGATATGCATCTCCCATGCAACCCGAGTCCTGCTAAACTTATTTACAGTGGACACTAACGCTTCTTGGCACAGGTCATCAGGTCTCCACCGCCCAAAACACTGACTGTCTCAGGGAGCATAGGTTGGATTATTTCGTCCAACTGCATACAGTCTCTGCTCTCCAGCTCTCAACTGATGGTAAATACTCCCTCGTGGTGAGAACGAGAATTAGCGACGCACGATGCCTCCGAAGTCCGCGAAACCCACCAGCGATGAGCTTCTCGCCCAATTTGACGACCTAGGGGTCGACTCGGCCACGGAACAGCCTGCCTCCAAACCAGCTACCACGGCGCAAACCGAAGACGACATTCTTGCCGAACTGGATAACCTAGCTTCCCAGCGTCCGAGCAGTGGGCCCGGGACCCCGCGTCTATCGACAAATGAGCCCAGGCCGCCCGTCAAACCTGCTGCAGCTACACCCTCAACTGGGCGTTCTAGTGAGGAGAAACCCGTGCCCCGTAAGTCCACGGAGAGTGCCCGGGTTTCGTTTGCGATAAACGAAGATGCGGATGTGCAGCCACCCAAGACCGAGAAGCTAGCAGCCAAAGAGTCCGCCTCGAGCGGCGGCGGTGGTGGTGGATGGTGGGGAGGCATTTTCGCAACTGCGACCGCGACTGCCAGTGCTGCAATGAAGCAGGCTGAAGCGGCAGTGAAAGAAATTCAACAGAATGAAGAAGCCCAGAAATGGGCTCAGCAGGTGAAAGGGAATGTCGGCGCTCTGAAAGACTTCGGTATGTTCCGTCCACATACTGCTTGCACAATTTCTTACTGACGAATGTTATCAAGGTGGTGAGCTTCGAAACATGGCAATTCCTACGTTTACCAATCTTATCCATACTCTTGCCCCTCCGATCTCGTCTCATGAACGCCTTCAAATCCACATCACTCACGATATCTCGGGGTACCCCGCCATTGATCCGCTTGTTTACGCTGTCTTCGCTCGCGTGATGTCCCAGGTCGAAGGTGGAGATCTTCTTGTGATCCAGCGTGGCCAAGAATCTGCGCCAAAACGGGGGTTGGATATAACGGGTAGCCAGTCTACCCCCGGCTGGCGTGATGGCCCGTGGTGGCGCACAGTTATGCCTGGAACCCCTCGCAGCATCTCGGCCGTGCGTGGCTCTGTAGAAGCTAGCAAGCTCGCTCGTGCAAGCGCAGAGTCTTACGCTACCGAGTTCTTCTCTGCCAAGGGTGGAGTTGAAGAAGCTGCAAAACAAGCTAGCCAGGTTCTGAGCGAATCCAACCCTGTCCGGAGTAGTGATATCTTCCTCGCCATCCAGGCCATTAGCCAACCTTCCTCCTCCGAACAGTTCCAAGCTGGTCCAACCACTGACAAGGCGACCCCACCAGGCGTAGTTGATGTCCCCAGCGCTACGGAAGAGGAGGTGACCTTCGCTCTCTATCTCCATGATCCCATTCACGGCATCGCCCTCCACACCATTTCCCAGGCAGTTCCACAGAAGTGGATCGACTGGCTCGATGCAGCTGTTCCAGCCACCGAAGACCCTGCCGCCGATGACATGTGGCACCGAGCTCCCGTTCCGGAAGATATTGCTGAGATCATCGAAAGTGGCGGCGTTGACCCTCGTGAATGGGCCGCTGAATGGATCGAAGAAGCGCTCACTTTAGCTATCGGCATCGTGGCGCAACGCTATGTCGCCCGGAGAATGGGGGTTGGAGAGGCGGGAGCCGCAAAGGGCAAGATGCGTGCTGAGCAGGCTTCAGTCGTGGAAAGCGGTGCAGGAGAGGTGGCGCGGGCGCTCTAGAGTTGTTTCGTTCCATAGCTGTCTCTTTTCAGTTGTTCTACTTGCGATTCAGATTACTAAAGACCACGATCAGATGATACTCTAATGCTGTTTTTCTCCTAGTTCTTCTGTGTTGCTTGTCTGCGTTTCCTTAATACAGCCATGCCACCAGCGCTACTTGCAAATACATTTGCCGCCTCAGGCGTACATAATCCTCACCGAGTTTCCTGTCCCTATTATATATAAAAAAAAGGTCATCAAGCGATGCAACAAAAGCATATATGCGACAGCCGTATGTTCCCCCAATGCAATGATTTGAATCCAACAGTGAAGTCTCTGGCGCCATAAGCCGAATGAGAGTCTTCGCGGGTATCTAGTTATCTCATCATCTCGTTTTGTTCAATCTTCATATCAATCATCAAGATTAATCGGTCCCTCCAGATCAGGGACATGCCAGAAATTGGCACGAAGAGCCGTGACGCTAAGACCAGTCAGCTCTTATCTACAGGCCTCGCACTGAAGAAGAGTGGAAACGTCAATCTCATACCTTGTATCACCGTTCAACACGGTATGCGCATCCGTCCCCTCCCGACTCGACTGCAGGGTCTTCTTCATCTCCGACAACTCTGCAGCCCAGGTAAAATCAACCTCCTTCAGATGCGACCCGCTCGACCCGTTGACGGCGGGCCCAGTGTGTCCATTCACCTTCTTGTCCGCGGCCACCTCGCCATACATGCAACCCCGCGGCCAGTAGTAGGGCAAGGCCTCCGTCCAGCGGATGGGTCTGCTCTCCACATCCTCCCGCATCGGCACGTTAAGATTATACAGCTCGACATCCGCATGCCAATGCTCGTACAGGTAATTGACAACCTTCACGGCATGTCTCGCCGCGGCGCTGATGATCTCATCCGGCTGCGGATCTTTACTCCCGAAGGAGATCGCGATAGCGCGCTTGCTGCAGGTGGCTGCCTCGAGGGCACCACCCACCGTTCCGGACGAGAGATTGTACACGGTCGAGGCATTGCGACCATGATTCGGGCCGGAGATGACTAGGTCGACGGGGGGGCGATCTTGGAAGAGATTGAACAGGCCCAATTGGACGCAGCTGGCCGGGGTGCCGTTTCGGATGACCACCCATTCGGGCTGGGTCTCGGTCTCGGTCTCCGCGGAGTCGAAGGTCTCATCCCACGTTCCGTCGTCCCGGAAGGCAGACGGGGGTACGTAGGTTGCCTTCAGGGCGGCTTCTATCAGGTGGGCTTTGCCGATCCAGGATCGCGACGCGGCGGGGATGGCTACGGAGACCAGGTGGCCTGCGTCTTGGAGGGCATTGACGAATGGGCGAATGTAGGGCGAAAGACGCTTCGAGGGCGGTCCATCGTCGTTCACCACCTATTTCCTTGCAAATCCGCCGGGGGGGTTCTGGTTAGTTCTATTGCTCTCCGGTTTGGGTTGGTTGCATGGAATTTTTTAAGGGGGTTTTTTTTTTTTCTTTTTCATGATTTGTCCGCAATGGTCTTGTGACGAGGGGTGAGCCATTGAGGGAAAGGCAACAAGGTTAGAAGTTCCATACCAAGATATGCATGTTGAAGGTAGTTCGGTCTGTCGATCTATAGGGCTTGGCGGAGGTGGGAAAATCAAGTGGTGATGAAATCGGGGACTCCGTCGGGGCTTCTTTTTGGGAACTACAGTCTGGACGTCGTTGGATCTTCTTCGTCCGGGTCCGAGTTGGCATTCCGCATAGTATTTATAGGGCAGACTCTGCTGGGTAAGAATTGAGCCTGGAGTGCCCATTTTCATTACTGCATACCCCGACTACTACCGAAGACATACCGGGGAAAGTAGTCTCCAAAGTGGTCACGGTGAAGATGCTGGAGCTGCGGGGGGTTCCATCTCGGAATGTTGGTATCGGGTATTGGTCATGACCAACACCATACCACGCATGCGACACCGAAATCGCCGGGGAAACAAGGAAAGATTACCGTACGGGGTCATACATAACCAGACCACGGGTATCCCGAAAAGAGGCTGCGGTGAAGAGCCATCGCACTCGTGGAGAACGACAATGTCACCGTCCGCAAATAACGGTTAGTGAGCAGTTGGGAAACTAATCAGAGCCGCGGCAATGGAAATTCTCGAATGGTCAGATGGTCTTTCATCGGAAGACTCTGTCTCAGCGCCATCAGGTGACGTGGAAGGGTGCCGGGTTGGGTGATGTTTATATACTCCTGCCTATCGTCCTTTGTGCAAGAAGGGGATTGTCAAGACAATCGACGATATGTATATATATACATACGATACACAGTGCTACACTGACAGGGGATTTGACCCCAAAGGGTCACTCTCTTGTGTCCTTATAGGGTTTGTTCGCCAGACGTTGTGTTTCTTCTGGAGATCTTGTCTCACATCACTAGTCCGATCTGATTTGGGTTCGGATGAGGATGCAACCATCAATGATAAGATATGATTTGGGCCAACAAGTGAACTCCCTGCCCCAGGACACTTATACTATTTGACTGTTAAGGGGCATATGCATGAATTCATGCTCGCGTCAGTTCAGGGCTTCGGGGCTCGTGTGATGCTTTCCTGGATAGGTCTAGCGCCTTGAGACCTTGGAAGCGACGTTAATAATAATACTAATTCATATCCACCGAGTGAAGATCCAGGTTTTTGCTTCAGGAGAAAATCAGGAGACGCTGGATTCGAATTCAGAGTTTTCCTGGCTAGTGACTGAGTTCAATGAGCCTCCACAACTCTTCCTCTTGGGTCGAGCGAGGGAGAGAGAGATATATATTAAACTATATCAATTGCCGGGATACTTTTTTTTCTATATATATCTAACTACTACTACTACTACTACTAGTATCTATACTCTCCTAAGCGATATGGAAGGTTAACGTGAACCTTAGTTTATTCTTCCTCTGCTGTTGGACTTCTGCCCATGTGTACACCATACCCTATGCAATCTGTTCTTTTTTTGTCTTTTACTTTCTTTGTGTTCGCAGCGTGAGGCGATTTCGGACCCAGGGGCAAGAGGATCATGATCACCAAGACCGGTGGACCCATCCCAAGAGCAAACCAGAACGGGTCCTTCTAGAATAGCATGATCCCTGCTTCTGATTGACTGATTGCAGATGATTTTTTAGGGTTGCTCAACAGTGATACCCGGTTGTTGAATCCTTATTTTCTTCTTTTCTTTTCTTTTTTTGGTTTGCATTTCCAACCACAATGCACCGATAGCGGGTCAGGATTGAATGCGCGAGTCAGAAAGCTCAACCCAGGGCACATGGGGCGATGCACAACGGACACCGAACGCCCCGTTCCACCATTCCTCGTTTTCCATGAGATGATTCCGTCGCGTAATCCCAGTCTTGTCATAGTTTGAAGGCCCTACTCGGATGGATTCTAGTCTCAATAAACTAGTCGTGGCTTCTCTTTGGCTTTGCTATCCAACCAACCAACCAGAAAGAGGGTGCGGATCAGTCGGATGCAGCGGTGGTACAGAAATTAATTAAAAGGAAAAAAGAAAGAAAAAAAAAAAAAAAAAAAAAAAAAAAAGAACAGATGGAGTGCAGTCAACCGACTGGCTAGCCAGTCTGACTAGTACTGTGTAGGACGGAGTACAGGATATCATCTCAGCGTCGCTGGACGATCACCGCGCATTAATCAACCTGCAAGGTCTCCGGTCGATGATCATTCCCCCCCTCCTGAGATTAAGACTGAGATTTGATACTTATATTGGATTAACGCTCGCCGTCCTTCGATCTGAAGTAAAAATATAAAAAAAAGAGACCTCTTCACCTCCCCCCACCACATTCCCTGGAATCAGCCACCCAAAGTGAAACGTGGTGAAGCACACAATCAGGATCTGGTCTGTGCGGTCCTGAACTTATCAGTTTTAGCACCGGAAGGCCGATCGCCGCAAAATCTTTGGTGGGGAACAAGTCAGCGCATTTCGAATTTCTACCTCCCATCCAAGTCACCCCATCGTCTTTTCATCATCTCACCTCGATCGCCTCCTTGCCGTTTGCCGAAAAGAGTCATACTGTTCGTTATTTAATCGATCCGCGTCGTTGTCGGTGCTCTTGGTTGTTGCGAGAGTCTCCGTCCCTGAACCACGACGCATCCCCAACAACACACGCGCCAAGGCCTTGTCAGCTCGCTCGAGGTCAACCACATCCCTCCCTTCCCTTCCCACCCCCTTCCCCCGAACTCCCATTCCCCTGTATGGACTGCGGGAGTACTGGTACGGCTGCGGGCATTGACCCCAAAATTCTGGATAACTGGCAAACCGACGCTGCTTTTTCGATACCCCCGTGGGAACATCCGCCATACGAGCAACCGTTAGAGTGGGACAACAGCCAAGACTCGACCCAGGACGATGCTGATATCGTCGAGTTGAATTCCCTTCATGGGTCTCTGGCGAAAAATCATTCCAATGCCGCCTATCTAGATCAATCCTGTGGTTTCCACAGCGGTGAGAACAGGTACAGCTTATCCCTGAATCATTTTATCCCGTGCATCAAGCTGATGGGGTTTACCCTGATAGCAAGACGACCTCACCGGAGAAATTTAGTATCCCCGATGGACCGATCGAGGGCACCGTCAGCGGCACCGTCAGTCCGAGAACCTTGCCATCCTCGGCCGACGATAACTTCCAGCTGGATGAGTCATGGCCACAATATCAACTGTTCAACGCCCTGACGGCCGGAATCCCCATGGATGCACCGCCGCTCCTCTATCCCTACAGCAAGGAACCAGCCGCCTCGACGAACACCGTCATTGTCGATGATGTAGGGGAGCTCTCGCAGGGGCATGGGCTGTCTGAAATCCCACCGGAGCACTTCTTGGCGTTTCAGAGCATGCCCCAGCCCTTCACCTTCAATGCTCCGGACGTTTGGACGGAGCCTTCTACTAACCCTTCGCCCGAGAGCATGGCGAATCAAACAACCCCAGCGTCGATTCCACTGGGAACGGAACAGCCAAACAAGGAAATGACCCCGGTCCGCGATTTTCAGACCCCTTTGAGGTCCCTCGAATCGCGCTGGCTCGATAGTCTGGAATCCCAACTGCCCTCCAATATGACCTCGCCTGCCTCGCTGTCAACCATCCCGCAGGGCCCGGGATTTTTCAAAGAAGAAAACCCGGGACAGGATGGTTTTCAGTACAAGTCGGAGAGTTCGTCGGTGTCCGGTGACTTTTCTGTTGGTGTATACGAATGCTCCTATTCTGCGACGAGCGATGATGCCCCGGCATTCGCTGAGCGACAGCTGGACGAAGAGGGCCCTTGGAAGGACTCTCAGAAGGATGAGCCTGAGATGGCACAGCCCCTTCAGAGCGCGACGGCTTTTATGGTGAGTGAGACGCCATCAGAGTCCTTCTTTGTTTCGGTTCCATCACGATCTCGGGCATCATCATCGGCAGCACAACGGTCGACGGTTCGGCCACCGGCGCTCGCACTGCAGTCTGCTGCGACTGTTCGGAAACGTAAACAGCGCGGCTCGAACCATTCTTTGGACCTCGGTCAGCCCAAGCCCCTGCAGATTGTACAAGAGGATGGCCAGGGCGGATCCATCGCTTCCGCAGACTTTGTATCCCCGCCACGCGGGGCGCGTCGTAAAGGACCTCTGACCATGGTCGGTCGGGCAAACGCTGGATTGCGCAGGAAGAACAAGGATACCTGCGTGCAGTGTCGTCTCAACAAGCGAAAGGTATGTTTCCCCAGGATCACTCCCTTGATTCGTAACGAGTACTAATCAGATCCGAACAGTGTGACGGAAACGCGCCATGCGATGCTTGTCGCCCTACGCTCCACGAGCAACCATGTGCACGGGCTTGCTTTGCAAACATTGTGGAGTATGGAACATGCAACTATGTCTGTATGTAAACTCTCCATTTGTCGCCAATTTGGTCATATACTAATCAACCTAGCTCAACGAGCCATCAACCATCCTACACTGGATAGGACAGGTCGCGTTCGGATGGATATTCCGGTCGAGTTCGACTTGAACGATCTCATCTCTTTCCTCGGTGAACGGCAAGGACGATTCAACATCCGCGCCACTCAAGCCTGGGGTTCTTTATATGTTCTTGACCTGGGAGAAACGTACAAATTCCTGAGGAGCTTGAGCGATTACAATGGCAACTCTCGGTCGAACTTCCTCGAGTTCATCGACCGACGCATCGTCGAATCGAAGGACAAGTCGAAGAACTGGCTGACCTGTGTCAAAGATTGTGACCCAATCAACAATTTCTACGTGAGTATCCCCACCGTCTTATCACGTACAACGAGACTGCTGACGCTCTTGCACCGCAGACCTTACTCTCGCGTTGGAACAACATGCCCAGTCGTGCGAGCTATAGTTTTGTTCCTCTCCACCCAGGCGCCCAGGAAAGGCCAATGGATATCCATAAGGCGGACGATCGACGTGAGATTCTCCTAGCGGCACAGCTTTCCCGCATTGTGTGCCGGATGCTGGAGGTTGAAGGGTTCCGGAAGCTGGAACGAGACTTCTACAACATCAAATGGAAGCAGATCTCCCAGGAGACGCACTTGCGCTTCTTGAACGAGCTCGGAAATATTCTCCTCACACTCCGCTGGCGGGTTTCCTGGTGGAAGCGCCTTGGAGATGGTGGCCAAGAGCCCGACCCGAGCAAGCAGCACTATGTGGATCGTGTCGACCTGCTCTGTCGGATTCTCTATGTTTATTACACCTGCGTGTTGGCTAAGCTGCCCTCCTGGTGCGCCGCCGATGTTCCTAAGGGGGTGTGGTCTACCTACGCCGACACTGAGAACGCGGTCTGGGATGACTTCCCCGTAGACCCTACCGATGATGGATTCCAGAGATGGATCGACCGAGGCAAGGAGCTGGTTGAACAGGCTGGTGCCCCGAATGGTACCTCTAAGATCGCACATTAGACGATGCGACAAAAAACCATAAAAAGGCGAAATCAGCGGTGGATTGGAACGGAAACAAGATTTGAGATACCCTTTACAGCGTCTTTTCGATTCAATTAACATATTTTCTTCTTCTTTTATTTTTATTTTTTTTTTCTTTTGCTTACTTTCCTTTCCGTCGTCGTCTCAGTTTTATGATTTACGATGATTCGGTGGTTTTATTTTGGGCTACGATTTGATAGATCGCGTGTACGTATGTGCCTACAGATAGTACATACTTTCTTTCCCATGAAATACATAGCAGATAGACATAGACCCTCGACCGTCCGGTTCAACCCAGGTCCCCTTCTACGTGCTCCATACTACGTCAACCACAGTGTTCAACAGGGTATCTATAAATATCATTACTCGTATCGCTATAGTATACTATCGAACAAACCCCACCCAACCATCATTGTTTTACCCGAGCTCGCAAAACCCATGAATGTTTAAAAAAAGATCATGCCCAGGAATTGCGAAAAGGATCCACCAGACCATACACAAGACAGCTTATTTCCCACCCTTATTCCCATTCTCCTTCTTCTTGTCCTTCTTCCCCCCAGCAAGCAGCTCCAGATGCCCCGCCTTCTGCGCAAGATTCCGCTCCGTCTTCGAAATCAACCCAGCCGTAAGTTTCTGCAGAGCAAAAAGAATAAAAATGACCTCGTTAGCAAATCATGCTCTCTCTCTCTCTCTCTCTCTCACCCCATCCCCAAGAAAAAGAAACACAACAAAACAAGAGAAAAAAACAAAAACAAAAACAAAAAGGAAGACAAACCTTCGTCATCTTCTGCTGCTTAATCAACGACTGCTTCTTCGGCGCAATCTGCCTCGGACCTGGCTTTGGGCCCAGAGCACGCGGCCTATAATCTCTCACTCACTCTCATCAGCCTCTGCGCAAACAATATATTTATATTCCCATCATCCGTTCCAACTATCCCGAATTCCATGCGATAGAGCGCAAAAAGATTGTAGAGTTGGATTGTAGCGTACCGTTTCGGGCCCGTGCCGGCCTTCTTTTTCAGGGAGCCTTGCACCATTGTTTTCCTTTTTTTTTGGATGGCTGGAGGAGGAGGATGGTGTAGATGTAAATGTACTGCCTGCAGCACCTTTTGGAGGGGAAGTGAATGCGTTTGGGTTGGGGTTGTTTTGCGGGTTTTTTTTTTTTTTTTGTTTTTGCTGTTGGAGATTGGGGAGGAAAATCCTTATCGGGGGTTTATCTGTCACGTGACGGGTTCCTTTTTTTTGGGGTGGGTTAGTTAGTATGGTGGATGGGGTTTTGTTGTTGGCGGAGTATTAGGTGCCTACGTCGGTATTATTATATGGAGGTTCTGGGTGGTAGTAGGGGATTTGATCCCTGTTAAGGGGTTGGGTTTCGTCGTTGTTGGATCGTTACGATATATTATATGATATATATATCATACTATGCTATACTATACTGTACGTCTACTGGACTGGAGTGGAGCTACCGAAAGTGTCGAAAAACATGTGCCATTAGAATAACGAAAATGCTAAATCATGTCCATTGAAAGAATACATGAGAAGTTCATTACATGAAGAGAAGGTATCACGTGAGCCAAGCGAACGACTCGAGTAGTGGGGCGTGTTTATGGTCTGAGAAAAAACACACCTGGTGGGAGGTGCAACGAAGAGCTGATATTACTATCTGCTAGAAGGCGGGCGCCTTCGGAGAATTAAAAAAAAAAGTTGGATGGGGAATTCTTGTGTACAAGAAGACTGGGCCGGTCTACCCGGGACACCAGGTGCGCTTAGAAAGCGAGGACAGCAAGAACACCAGCAGCGGCGGCACCGAAGCTGATGGCGTTGCGGTCAGCACCGCTGGTGAACAGAGGAACACCAGGGGTGGTGCTGGAGGCAGTGCCGGAGGGACCAGCGGAGCTGCGCAGGGTGGTGGGGAGGTAGGGGGTGTTGGTGGGAGAGACGACAGGGACGCTAACACCGCCAGTGCCCCAGGAGTGAGACTGAGCAGGAGGGGGGATGACAGGAGCGCTGGACGAGGCGGTAGGAGCGACAGTGGCGGGAGCGGTCTCGGTCTCGGGGCAGATAGTAGTGGTGATCTCGTAAGTCACGTACGAGGTGGCAGAAGAGGAAGAAGCACCGGGGTTGGCAGCGGTCGAGGTGGGAACCTCAGGAGCAGCAGAAGAAGAGGAAGAAGAAGCGCCGTCAGGGTTGGAGATGCCGAACTGGGTAGAGTACTGGTACTGGCCAGTTCCCTCGACGACCAGAAGGAGACCGTAGTGGGTGACGTCGCCTCCAGGCTGGTGCTGGGAGTCCATTCGAACTTGCCGTTGTTGGGGATCTGCTCGGCAATAGTCTCGAGAGTCTGCATGTTGGTGCTCTCGCCGCGGAGAAGGACCAGAGAGACGGTACCCTCGGTGGTAGGGCCCCAGGTGATGGCGTAGGGCTTGCCAACGGGGACGGCCTCGTTCAGACCGGGAGTGTAGATGGGGTTGCCAGTGGGACCCTGGTTGTAGTCAGGGTCGGTGTGAGCAGTAGCCAGAGCCGCGAGGGCAGTAAGAGCACCGAAGATGGAGAAACGCATTTTTGCTTTCTGTATTTTCAATTGGTCCGATATCGACGCGAAAAAAAATATAGAGATAACCTCGAGGTGGTCTGCGAGAGCTGGAAAGCTGTGAAGCTGTAAATCAAGGAGTGACTGGAGTGGGATGTAGTGTCTGAGACAAAAGAGTGACTGGTGTGCGAAAAGAACGACAACACTGAGAGAAGGAAAAGAAGAAGAGAAAGGAAGGACGAGAGGAGGGGAGAGGGGGGGAATAAAAAAGGATTCCAGAGGAGTGTCACAGCAGCTAAGCCTTAGGGTGGCCTTGTCACTGGCCCCCTTTGGGAAGGGGTATCTTGTCTCTTTTTGCGGCTCATTTCACCAACAGTGGGGCCATAAGAAATGAGATCAAGATGGAGTACAAGACTCGCCGTCCAATCCTAACGGGCGCGTGCCTGGCATTCGTTGAGACATCCTAAATTGTGGAATGCTGGACGCTAACCTCGCCATCCTCCGGACGTTCAGGCTCCTGAGAGGATGTCACCTCACTGGACCCGGGGGGCCATCTGACTGGTTTGTCGCAATTTTAGTAAATGCTAGTTCGACAAGATCTTGGAGAAACTAACAAGAACTTTGTGAACAGGCCTGAACTCTGGCAAGGTCCCTGATGCTCATGATTGGCGGATTGTGGGTTCAGTGTCCAGCAATTAGGAAGCACTAACAATAGGAGACTTGACGAGAGTGCATCAAAGAGGGGCCGAAATTGTAGGGCCCCTCGTCTCGTGGATCTTTGGCCATTTTGGTTAGGGTCGTTAGTATCAAAAACTAAGGACTAACGGTGCCGAGCTTATGAAGTATATCCCAGCCTTCGGTGTGCACCCTTGCATGGCCGGGGGGAGGCGTTGGTGCAGTAGGGTCTCGTGGAATTTTCTTTTTCCTTGTTTAATACAGAGTCAGGAATGTGGCATGTCAAGCTGTCCGACAAAGATGTGGAGGCTTGTTTTGTCGAAGAATGAATGAGTAAAATTCAGATCGACACAGAGAGAGGAAAAAAAAAAAAAGAGAATATAACGCGGGGGGGCGTGATTAGTTTTCTTGGCCCTCAGGCACCCAACAATGGGAGCATGACTTTCAGCCTCCCGTCGTAGATACAGTACGGAGTACGGAGTACAGAGTACAGAGTACATACAAGCTACATACCACACACATACATACAGCAAGTACACCGTACCTTGCCTTCATCCCTGTCTCATTCTAACTTCCGGAAAATGTCCGAAACGTCCACTTCACACACCGTCACATCCAATGCTCATCAGTTCATCCTCGACTTCTTTCTATTTCTTGCTGGCCGGCTTTTCTCTTTTGTCAAGTCGATTCATTTCCACTTCCTTCGTATTCTCGACAGGAATCGTTCTCTCGTCCTCTCTTTCCGATGTCAACGAGATGAGATGGGCGCCACCAGGCTGTGTTGGTCAGCTTTTAGCCGCCAGAGAATGAGATTTTTAATTTTAATTATCGGAGTAATCAAACTAAGTATCTCGTGTCCACTCTCCAGAGGGGAGAGTCAGAAATAATAATAATAATAATAATAATTATAATAACAATGATTATGAACAGTGGATAATTTTACTGTCCCCCACCCACACACAGTGCAAATGCGTTGTCACGACATTCGCCCACACACGGTTGCTGATCGACTCGTCTCAGAAACCTTTGTTTGAGACTTCAAAGGACCCCTGACTCTGATCCTGATCCTGGCGATAAGCCGATACTGATAATCACAACGGATCCCCGCAAACAGAGAAGATCGCAACTTGGGATAAACTTATGAAGTCATCCCGTGTCTTTTCTCGGGAGGGATGTTCGTTGGCTTTTGTCGCTCATTTCTTGTTCCTGACTTGGTCGGTGGAGCCGACCGACGGCTCTTCTGCCACTAGAAACATCCCAACGGGGTTGACATTTTGATTACAGGTTTGATTACGGTGTACCAGGGAAATTACCCAATGGTTCAAAGACCAACCATGTCAGGCACAGAGCCAACTCATTGGGAAGAAAAAAAAATATTCTCCGATGTAAAATCGCCGCAACCCAGACTCCGTGGCCAAGCCCAGGCACCGAGCCCTGTGACTCAGGTCGGTCCAATACGAAGGACTGGAAGATGTCCATTGTCGCTGCAAAGTGCTACAGTGTCACTGGCCATGTGCCATAGACTGCAGTGGCGTCCGAGACTAGTGCAGGTGTCTCGGATGCTGATTGCTGAGCCCAGGTTGCCTATCTACTGACTAGTTCTGCCTAACCCATGGTTCAGCCGGGGTGGAGTTCGCCGGGACTAAAATTAACATAACCAGGTCCGGTGGTACGAGAACCAAGCATCGCCTCTATGCGTGGTTGCTTGAGTTGGATTTACCCAATGTCTGACTTGCACTGCCTATCAGCTATCTTTAGCAAGAATAAGAAATCCATGGCTGGTGAACAGAGTTATTCGGTAGTGAATTTCTGGTGGTGGATTAACTATGATGTTTAGTGCACGGCCTTATACCGAAAAAGGTACTTGCACTTTTTCCCTTTGCAAATAGCGGTCAAAATTTGGACCCAATACATCCGAAAGCACACTGAACTACCGAAGATGGCATTTGTGCTTTCGAGACGGACGATGCAACCTTACAAACATCGCTTCCAGCTCCTCCTTCAGAAATGAGCGTGCTGATTGGTAGTTCCTCGCGTTGATATGGTCTAGATGCGGTACTACTCGTGAATGATGAGACAAGGCTGGAACTATTGAAATTGGTTTCTTGGATGGGATGGGATATCTTATAGTGGAGGGACGGTTCCGAATGGACATCTAATTTCGTACCCTGGGCGCGGATAAACGGTCCCTTTCGGGGAACCCGCCCATGTCTCAGAGGTATCTACTGCACCCAGGTAACTGTCTTGGTTTGCAACCATTCATCGTACGCGGCGGGTCCTCCGAACCGGCCATACCCGCTGCTTTTCCATCCACCGTGTGGCAAGACCGGTTCATCGTGCACGGTGAGGGAGTTGATATGGACAGCCCTAAACGCTCATCAGCAAGTGCCACGATAAACTCATGCGAGGGGTACTCACCCAGCCTCAATCTGCTTGGCTACCCGTAGTCCCCGGAAGAGATTGTCTGTGAAAACTGCAGATGTGAGACCGTATTCGGTGTCATTGGCTAGTGCTACGGCGTCTTCTTCAGTGTCGACGACCATGAGGGAAACAGTAGGGCCGAATGATTCTGCAGAATAGAGGTCCATATCCTTGGTGACATTGCCCACGATCACCGGCCGCAGGCTATTACCGGGCTCCTCAGAGGAATTGCGCTCTCCATAAACAAGGTCGGCACCCTTTGCAAGCGCATCGGACACTAAGTGCTTGTTTTTCTTGACTGCAGCCGAAGCCACTAGAACTGGTGCCGGTGTATGTTTCCCGAACACTTTCTCGGATGCATCCGCCAGCATGGTGCGGAAACGGTCTGCGATGGACCGCTGCACGACGATACGCTCGGTGGACATGCAGATTTGACCGGACTAAAATCGTGTCAGCGACACTCGTGACGACCATCAGATAAGTGCACTTACATGCATGAATGCCCCAAGGCTACAACACATGGCGGCCCTCTCCAGGTTGGCATCGTCCAATACAATGGCTGATGCCTTGCCGCCCAGTTCGAGGACGACGGGCTTCACATATTTGCCGGCAGTGGATGCGATGATAGATCCTACCTGGGTGCTGCCGGTAAAGCTGATTTTACGAACGGCAGGATGGGCAATAAGAGCAGTGGTAACAGGCGCTGCGTCAGCGGGTCGGTGGTAGACCACATTGAGACACCCTGCGGGAAGACCAGCTTCCCGGAAGACATCGCCAATAGCCCAGAAACACTTGGGGGACAGTTCCGAGCCCTTTAAAACTGCTGTATTACCTGCGGCAAGCGGAAGCGCGATGGAGCGGGTCCCGAGTATATAGGGAGCATTCCTGAATGCAGATGGTCAGTAACGCCAAAACTTATCTCTGCGCTGTTTTGCGTCTACGGTGGGAAGTTCATACCATGGCGCAATTCCCAAGATCACCCCATAAGGCTCTTTGAAGACCATCGCACATTCTCCCTCTTCCGATACCGACGGGACTGAGCCCTCGATGGATGGAATCCGTGCAGCGAAGTCCTTGATGAATCCAGCACCCATCTCGAATGTCTTCTCCACGAACATTCTGCCCGCGCCCGTCTCCTCCATTTGATACTTGATCAACTCCTCCCTTCGGGAAAGCATAATGTCTGCCGCCCTCATGAGGATATCCCTACGATCATACGGCTTTGTCTTGCTCCACGCCGGGAAGGCTGCCTTCGCTGCCTCCACCGCACGGTTGACATCGTCAACGGATGCACTGGCACAGCGGTCAATGATTTCACCCGTCGCAGGGTTGTGAACATCGAAGATAGTCTCCGTCACGACCGATTCATTGTTAATGATGAGCGGGATTGCCCCTTTGCTGCCCGTACCGTTTGCAGACATCCTTTTCGATTTTTATACTCTCCCCTTTCTGAATCGGCAGCACCCGTGAAAAGGAATCGAATTATTCTAAGTCAGGTGAACGACTTTGTATAAAGGAGCCAAGGTAGGGTCGCGAGGGGAGAGGTGTTTTATATTTAAAGGGGAAAAAGGACGGCAGAGAGCAAAGGATGATCACCGACGGCGCCACCAAAAGAGACAGTTAGCTCCCAATAAGCATGGCCGTTGGAGACACTTTATGCATCGACTAAAGTGAGGGGAGAGAATTTCGGTAACTTTCCCGGCAGTGGAGCCGAGCCTGTGCAACTCCCGGTCAAGGGAGACGACGATCTGGAGCCTTCCTTGGGGCTCGTTGTGGGTGTTACAGTCCTCTCATTCGCTCCTGGGAGTGGTACGCTTTGCAGCCCAATCGAGGTTTGGGAGGGTTGTCCTCTTCCCGGAACGTGATGGTCACCTCTTGTCTTTGTTCATTGCGCCTTCATGGCAAATAAGATTAACAAGGGGGCCAGGAAGACA